ATAAATTTGTGGCTGGCACTGCTACCGATTTCGTTCTGATATCGTGGAATCCTGACAGAAATGTTACAAAATCCAGTCCTGAAACTTTAGCTGTTGTCGATAAGGACCGAAATGGTACCAGATGGAACGACGGAAAGGTGGATTCTTCGGGTAGATTCTGGGGTGGTAGGTTGAAAATAATTATAAATTAACAAGTAATAATTATGCAGTAATTAAATAGTAATTAAGCAATAATTAGGTAATAATCAAGTAATAATCAAGTAATAATCAAGTAATAATTGAGTAACGATTAAGTAATGATTAAGTACTGATTTAGTTAATCACATTAAAGCATATTTTCTTTACTCTACGCCATTTATAGGCACAATTGGACCCGAAGTGAACGACGTTGTTGTACCAGATCAAGCAAATTTCTATCGTATCGGCTCCGACTTGAAACCACAAGTGGAACTGTCCCCTGTTACGAACAGTAATGGATTAGCTTGGAATCAGGAGGATAATACACTTTATTATATAGATACACCTACGCGTAAAATAGCCGCGTTTGATTTCGAGAAAGTCCAGGGAACTATAAGTACGATATTATTCTTCAGTGCATAAATTATAAAATATGAAATTCCATTAAAATCGCATTGTCGATTTATAGGTAACAAAAGAATCGTATTCGATCTTGAAAAAAATAACGTTACGGGATTACCAGATGGTATGACCATAGACAGAAATGGAAACCTTTGGATAGCTTTATATGGCGGTGGTGCTGTGAGTATTTATGTTCGAACGATACATTGTTAATGAAACTTACGGAATAACAAGATATTTAACCAACAGGTGGCCCATGTTGATCCACGCACTGGTAGTTTATTGCATTTGTTGAAGATGCCTGTAGAGAAAATAACCAGTTGCGCATTTGGAGGTTCCCGTTTGGAAACTCTATTTGTAACAACATCTAGCCGCGATTTGACCGCTGAAGACTTGCAAAAGCAACCGTACGCTGGTTACGTGTTCGCTGTAAATGGTTTAGGTGTACGTGGTGTGATAGCAAATTCGTTTAAATTGTAATATTTTGCGACAAATAAATGATAAAAATGTATCTTGATATTTATAAATATTAAATACTGATGCAAAATTAAATGCAACTAATTTTCTACGTTATTCCTCAAAACACCTTTATGGCATTAAGTAATTTATATTTTACTATTTATATAATAACAAAATTAATGGCAAACAAGAGTTAATGAATGGGACGTAATATGAAATTTATATAAACATGCAGTAAAAGAAAAAAAGAAATTAATTCTTTTATCTATTTCTTATTCTATATATTATCTACAAAAATAATATTTAAAGAAAGAACGAATTTTAATTAACGAGAGAATGGATAGTAGTATGTAATATGGGTGTTTCATATGTTATCATAAATAAATTCTACTTTATGATAACCTTTCAGTGACGTAACAGGTTACATGTATTCCTATTGGATATAATTGAAAGATTAGGTGTGTAAGTACATATTTTTTTTATCTAATGGATACTACGTGTGGCGCACAATACACATGTATATGTATATACTATATATACACAGAGAGAAAGATCTGGAACTCTACTATATCAGCATTCGAATTTTTACATTATTACCGTGTTAAAAAATAACGTAAGCTTACTTCTTGTGCTGCAAGTGGATATTCAAATAGAGGTATAAAAGTGCATGACTATTACTATATTAAACGTAATTTAACTACCAATTTAAATGCAAATTAAAAAAAATTTTTAAATTACATTTCCTGTATCTACAGTTTTGAATATAAATAACGTATAATTTTAGTTACTAGTCATGTCAAATTAATGTAACTATATTACTAGATACTTTTCTTATCCGTATTAATATTTATTATTATTATGTATTAGGAAAATGTCAGAGTTGTCTATTGAACCACTAGTAGGACCTTACACCCTTGGAGAAGGCCCACATTGGGATCAACTTTCTAAAAAGCTCTACTTCGTTGATATACTTGGTCAAAAAATATATAGATACGATCCATTAACCTCAACTCTTACATCTGTTTCTACAGGTAAACATCCTAATACACACTACTTCATTTTTTATAATATACTTTACAAATATACGATATAGATTTTATGATTACCATAATTACTAGAAAATGGACCTGTTGGATTTGTTATTCCCGTTGATGGTGCTCGTGACAAATTCGTAGCTGGAATTGGTACAGATGTTGCATTAGTTACATGGGATGGAGAAACGAATCTTTCAAAGGGTACAACTGAAACATTAAGCACAGCTGACAGTGATCCTACAAAAACCAGATGGAACGATGCAAAAGTAGATTCTTCTGGAACATTGTGGGGTGGTTCGTTGAGCATGTTGATTATTTAATAAGTAAATATATTACTGTAAATTCTATTATTGCATAATAAAACAATTTTATTAGGGACAATGGCTCTAGAAATAGATGGAGTAATCGAACCTGGTAAAGGGTCATTTTACAGTATTGGTTCTAATCTTGTGTTAAAAAAACAAGTGACCCCTGTAAGTATAAGTAATGGAGTGGGTTGGAATCTTAACGAAGACACACTTTATTACATTGATTCACTGAGCTATCAGGTAGTTGCATACAATTACGACTCTCAAACGGCAGCTATATGTAAGAAATTTACAATATACCTTACATGCTTATAATACCTTTTTGCATTAAATAAACTTACATATTTAATTAATTTCTTTACATAGCTAACAAAAGGACTATTTTCGATCTTCGGAAAAACAATATCAATGGATTTCCAGATGGTATGACTGTAGACGCATGTGGAAATCTTTGGGTCGCTGTATATGGCGGAGGTGGCGTAAGTATTATAACAATCTATACAATAACTCGTAATTCCTATTAGAACTCATCATACAATATATATAATTCAAGTTAGTTACTTTCTGAAAATAAAAAATAATTAATATATAGATACTGCATATAAAACCGGAAACGGGTGAATTATTGCGTTTTGTCAAAATCCCTGGTGCCCAACTTATAACCAGCGTTGCATTTGGTGGTACTGATCTCGACGTATTATATGTAACATCGTCGCGCACGGGACTGAGCGAAGATCAGTTAAAAGAGCAACCTTACGCCGGTTACTTATTCGCTGTAAAAGGTTTAGGCGTACGTGGTTTACCTGCGAATTCATTTAAACTGCCACATAAATCAACATAGATGTGATAAGTATAAATACTTCATATTTGTACAAATATATTAAAATATACTTCTTTAGTACTAAATCGTTAGAACAACGAATAATATAGTAAATTACAGATATAAAATTTCGTAGTTTGTAATAATTCTTATAAAGAAATAAATTTCACATGTTCCAAAAAAAATGATTACACGACTTTCTTATTTAACAGGAATAAACGATATCGTGTATTTTGTTTACTGCGAAAGATACTCTTATAAATTACGCATTAGAAAATGTACAAGTCTCGCTAATATCTAATATTACATTTGTCTACCTTTCTCTGTTTACATACAAAAAAAAAATTCATCAGTTGCTAAATGTAAATAGTAGAAAAATAATGCATCGTTTCATTAATATGTAAAAGCATTTCTCTTTGAAAATGTGAAACAATATTCGTCACGTGTATGCTAATGTTCTTTCGAATATTATCAGGATACCATTAAATATGATATTCGACCATTGACGTAGGTACCGAAGTTTGAAAAAGTACATTTTTACGGTTTCTTCCGTTTATAAATTACCTTCCATAATTTAGAATACATTTATTGTTAATATTATTATTACCATCATCATTATCTATTCTCATACGTGACAATTAGGAAGCCTGTACAGAATGATATTATTAGGCACGAAAGTGAGAAGGCTAGCAATCTGTTTCAGTCATCTTGAATCGATATGAACCCGACCAGAAACAAAGATTGTTAGACCAAAATTTGAGTACTATTTGTTATATAACTTATCTATAATACATTTTAAATTAAATTATGAACTGATGACAATTTTAATACGAATTTCCTATCAATGACTCATTAATTAAATACAATCCCTTGTCTTTCTTCAAACCCCCCAAAAAGGATAAAAAAAAAGTGACATGGCTGCTTTCGTACCAACAAAATTTACAGACTCAATCGTCTAAAGTAATAATCTCAACGCTATCGTTAACAGACTTTTCCCCTTTCTTATTCGAAAGATTACTTGATTTTCCTCTAGGTAAGTCGTATATGGTCATGCAATCTGTGTTAGACGGTCTTAAAGGGTCGGATAATTTTTGCGGGACTATGCTTACACCAGAGGACAGGTTTTTCGAATACTCTATTGTTGGTTTCATTTGTGCTTTTTGTTGAGGTATAATCTCTAAATGCGAGTGTTGTTTCAATTGCGTAAGCATCGATAAAGCTTCTCCACTTTGAGAAAATAAATTAGGCAAAGGGGTGGACACTTCCATGGTAGTCGGTGTTTTCGCTTTGGCAGATGGTTTTTTGTAATTCGAGTATTTTGTACTCGGAGCCTTCAGTCCACTTTGAGGATTTATCGGATTCCCGTATATTCCGCTAAGTTCAGAAGGTATGTAAGGTGGTTGTGTCATGGATGAATTTCCAGGCATCGCATTCAACAAGTTCGAGAAAGTCGTGGGCAGTGAAGGCATCGCTTTGGATGGTTTCGTCTTCCTAATTGGATTGTGCACGTTTGTTTGTGAATATGGCCGCTGCGAGTTCTTTTTCGACAGTAATTTGTGTTGCAGCGATGTCCCTGAATGAGAAGGGGCGACATTAATCGACAACGACTGCTTCAAATTTATTGATGGACCCATCGTCGAGTGCGCAACCTGAGGCACTGTAGTCGAACTAGTTGTAGCATTGCTTTTCAACGGAGAATGCGACAAAGAGGGATTATGAGCTGGCTGAGGTTCAGTCAGAGACTTTGAGACTCGAATTTGCGGGGCACTCATTTGTTTCGGTGGGCTGGTTTTAACTTGTTGAACAACCGATGGTTTCAAAAGAGAAACTTGCGTGGTAGGTGGTGGTTGTAATACTTGCTTCGAAGGTTGCGACAGTTGCAAAGACTTCGGGAGTTGAACTGACAATAACGAATCGTTTTGTGTACTTTGTTTAGATGATTTGCATTTAGGCGGTACCGTGTTCACTGGTGTTATCGATATACTAGGTCTATCTTTGGCGATAGACGTGGTTGTAGTAATTGTCTTAGTTGTAGTTGTTTGCTGATGCAAGGGCGTAGAACGTGCCGTTGTGGGGGTTGGATTACTACTTAGACTTAACAACTGTTGCACTGTCAAATTATTAGTTAAATTATTCATGCTTGCTGGAGTGTTCATACTAGACGCGACTGTGCTCATCGGGGGTACATTGTTCATAGTGGATGCACTGGCGATTGTACTATTTAAACCACTTGTCAAGTTGGACAACGATGAGAGATTATTTTGATATTGTCTAAGAATGTCTTGATAATTTCCCATTTGATTGAAATAATTGATCGTTGCTAGGGGATCCATCATACTACCGCTTAAACCACTAGTTAGTAGAGCGGATAATATATTTTGATCGATCAATGGATGCATAAAGTATGGATTCATCAAAGAACGATTTCCTCCCGATGCGCCCATGTAATTAGTAAAATTAGTTTTCGCGTTAAATTGGTTCATGGCATTGCCACTTTGTTGCATGGCCTGGAAATACTTGTTAACATTTGGTGGTCGCCCTCTTGGTCGGCCTGTCGCTGTCAAATTTCTGTATGGTTTCCGACTTTGGGATGACTGCGGTGATGCCGAACTAATCTGGGACTGAGATGTAACCACCTATCAATGGAGAATTTTTATTATAATATTTATTTACATCGATCAACGAATATACAATGTAAAGAAAGAAGACTATAGAACTTACAGGAGTCGGAGATGTAGCTTGAGGCTGAACTTGAGTGTCCGAGGTAGGTTTATCGAGATTGGAGAGTAACTTATTTAAAACTTTGCGATTATAATTATACTCATTACAAAATTTTGTAGCAATTTCTAAAACATTTCCCTCCAAATTCTGTTAATAAATAATTAAAACAGTCACATGAAATTCACATTCTAACATACCCTAAATGTGTTTGGTGAATATAAACTTACTTTATTCCCCATGTATGTTTTATACGTGTCTACTAACAAGGCAGAAAGTGTTTGTATAATTTGCTCCTTAGTCTGAAAGATTTTTAAAGCTCTTTGATATACCCAATACGTATCAAGAAGTACTTGAGTTCTAGTATCCGGATTCTTGTTAGATACAGGATCAGGAGAGCCAGATCCCATCAACTGCACCTTTGTCCTAAGAGACTGCAAGCAGAGAGTTAATGCTTGTCTAGATAATTGCTCCCTTTCTGAATCGCGTAAATATTTTCTGAAAAAATAACATAGAAATTTCGTGATTTTATTAGTTGTTTTAAATTAAACAATTCAAAAAATATATAATGTATGTTTAATTTAAATATATACTTGTCTGATTCTGGTATTTTTCCCAATTGTACACTCAATTGCATCAACATTCGACCATCATTTGTTTCTTTAAGTACTTGCATTAGTAATGTTACACATCTTGACATGTGAAATGCAAAACTTCCAGGTCTATCAACTTCTCGATTTGGTATATGCCAAACACCCTAGGAAGATAAATGAATATTATCTTATGTAAGTATTGATAAGTAATCACACTCATTACATTTCCAAGTTCACTCTGATAAAGATATACCTAACACAGTTGCATACACAACAGAATATGCAATAGTTTATTGTAGAAAAGAAACCACGAACACTAGAGGTACAAAAGGTAGATACTTCTTTTATAAAACTTCGTAATCTCAGATATATCGTCATTAAGTGTTTTCACATTTATAACGTAAACAAACAATATTTTAGATACCCTTTAACGTCGAAGATATGAAGCTAACTATCGGTAATCATGTTACTATAATTCTTCTTTCTTTGGCTTGGTGCAGTGTTAGGTAAAAATTAAACATTTTTTTTTTAAAAACGCTTTACTTCACAAATTATAAAAAAATATCAAAAAGTTGTTTGTTAATTACAGAACCTAATTGTAGAAAATATATAGTAAATTAGTTGGCATTTTCTTGTTCATGTTTTAAATAATTTTTTCCAAAATTCTTCTATACAGTATATTTTTCATCGCAGAAAAGTATAAAGATATTCATTTTAAAACTTTCACAAGGTCTATTAATGCTTCGGAGAAAGTAATAATAGATACAGATGCTGGAGCAGATGATGCAGTAGCCATACTTTTGACTCTTAAATCTGAATTCAAGGGATTCAAAGTTTTAGCGATTACTTGTACATATGGGAATATATATATAAATAATGTAGTAGAAAATGTACTTAAAACTTTAACTATTGCTAACAGAAGCAACGTAAGTATATTTATTTTATATCTCATAAAAAATAGTGTAAATATTCTACATGTTTCTGCACAAAATTTTCCAGATACCTGTTTATAAAGGAGCAGAGGAAGCATTATTAAAAGAATATGAACCTAGTGATTATTTTGGTTTCGATGGTTTTGGAGATTTTAAATTCACAGAAAAAATAACTGCTAAAGTTGATGAAAGTAAACACGCAGCTGTAGCACTTGTAGATTTAGTAAAAGCAAATCCAGGTTGAAAATTAATTAAATTGAAAAGAAACCTAAATATAAATACTTAAATTTAAATATATTTGATATATTTTTTTAGGTGAAATAACTCTATTAAGCATAGGACCGTTAACAAATGTTGCTATAGCAGTAGCATTGGATCCTTCATTCTTAAAAAATTTGAAAAAACATATTATATTAGGCTCCAGTACTTCTGGTATCGGTAATGTTCTACCTAATGTGGAGTTTAATTTCTATCAAGATCCTGAAAGTAATTATATTGCATTAAATCGTACTAATAAAACGAGTACTCTATTTCCTTGGGAAACAGTTAGGAATAGTCATATACCTTTGGTAATTATTTCAAGATTCAATTGAAATGGTATATCTTTATATTAGTAAGGATTTCAAATTGACATGTCATAAAAATATGATTGACTTTCAAATAGCATTGGCGTACTAATGTATTGGGACGTTTAAATTCTACTATAACAAATTTCTTAAACAAAGCGGAGCGAATAAGTTTATTGCATTCTACTTCATGGACTTCTTCGGATGCAATGGCTGCTGCAGTTATGATATGGCCAGAATTTATAGAAACTTCTATAATAACAAATGTAAGTCCTGTGGTTGATGGAATGGCCAGAGGTTCAGTACTTGTAGATTATACCAATATAACTGACAAACCAAAGAACGCACAAATTATACAAAGATTTAATGTAACAGCTTTCCAAGATACTTTGTTACAGCTCTTCTCCTAAACTTGTCAAATAATAATGGTAGTAGAAATGTGTTTCTATTAGGTCGTGTAATATGAAATGTTGGATTTTGCAAAGAAAAGGAAACCTTATGTGATGTTCTAAAAGACATTTATTCAATCAAAATATGCTTTATTCGATTCAATAGACTTCTGACAATGTGTTCATCACGCAGTTCATTTTGCAAAGAAACTACCAAAATGAAATTTTGCAAATCAACGCTGCACTGTTTTTTCATTCACAGTATTGTCCCCAAATGCTTTGTTTATATTTTGAGCAGTTTTTGCAGCATTATTTCCAAGTTTGAATTCATATAAGAAATTTACATGAATGTTGGTGATACCCGTGTTTTAAAAAAATGATGCAAGAAGTAGTTATTATGCACAATTTGGAAAAACTTTTTTGCAAAGAGTTATTCTAACAATCGACAATGAAACTGTTTAAGAGATTATATGAAAAACTGAGGAATAACAACATCAAGAATAGAAAGGTTTATGAGTAAGATATATCCGACATTTCATATTAAACAACCTAATATTATATTCTAAGAACATAAATAAATGAAATACAATGTACTTACACTAAAGAAGTTGGTACTTTTTCTGTCTGCAAAGAGTCCTTGAAAATTTTCACCACGATAAAATTGGCAATTGTAACTATCCAACAAGAGATTCCTACACTTTGTTATGTCCTTGGCAGTCTTATTGTTAAAAAAGAAATGCGACAGTCTATAGAATGACTTGTAGTGCTCGGAAAATCTTAAAATGCATTGTTCTAGACCAGCTAAACAGTATGCTATTAAGGTTGCAACTTCTTCGTCTCTCATATTTTCTTCTTTCTGTGCAAAGTTAGAATCCTTTTTCTTCTTATCAGAATCACTTTCACAAGCAGTATCGCTATCTGTGTCACTTGAACTATCGGTATCAGAACTGTCATCACTGGTGCTGGATTCATCACTACTACTTGAACTGGAATTATTTGTTTCCGTTGTCGTTGTGGTTGTTTGGGTTGTTGTGGTGCTTTCCTGAGAACCTCTTCTACTCAATGTTACTTCTTCTTTAGGAGTATTCATTAGTTTCTTTTTATCTCCCGATTTATCTTTTGCATCTTTGTTACCACACTGTAAGTCCTCGCTGTGCAGCCACTTGCCATCAAATTTTCGTGTGTCTTCATCTTCAGGCGTCGACTGCCGTGTTTCTTGACTAATTTCCATTGCTTGTTTCATCAATGCATCCATTAAATCTTGAACATTTTCCGACTTTCCTTCAGCTTCGAACACATTACCAATTTTCAGCGAATTCAAGGAACCTTTTTCATCCGCAGACGACATTTGCTGTTTCGGTTTCTCGACATTCTTCGTTTTTACCCGTCGTTTCTGCAACTTTGGTTCGTTACTCTCATCGCTCGACAACACCATTATCTCATCTCCTTTTTCTTTTTGCGAGACCATGTCACAAACTTTCGTGATTACGTCGTCTATTAAAGCCACAACATCTTGCATCAACTGTAAATGCGACACGTTACTCAATTTTATTTTCTTCACGTTGTCTTGCGGCATGTCTGTGGGCGATCGTTTACGCGTTTCCAATTTCTCGGCCCGCTGAGTCGCGTTCAATCCTCTGTTTGTCCTATCAACTATTTCTATTTCCTCAATACTATTCGACCGCTGGCAAACAGTAACTACATTTCTGTCCCCTTCGCTAGTAAACTCCACTTCTTTTCCAGCGCTTTTATTACCAGCGAAAAACGCATCGTCTTTGGTTTTTTCATTCAGTTTTGAACTGTACTTCATAAAAGGGCCTTCAGCACATTTTTCAAGGTATAATTGCAGCAACTGACCCAAAGATTTCTTCAGCGGTTTGCCCTCATGTTGTTCCAGATACTTCAATATACTTGCATGGATTCGATAATGGACTTCTAATGCTTCGACCGAAAGATGTTGCGGAGATTTATGACTTATTCTACGCGGATATTGTGCGTTATTATGATATAGCAATTCGCTGGCCTGCGATCGGGTACAGATTAATCATAATTTACTCTGTTTATATTAATTATGGTAAAACTGCAGTTTATTGCCTTCTCACAATTTGAATTAATTTTGCTATTACTTTTGTTTGAAGGGCTTCATTTTATCACTAAAATGAAAAATCAATTGAGGGAATTTTAAAAAATGTACTTTTTGTTATTTAATTAAAAACAAATCGTAAAATTAAAACTTTTTGATAAATGTACAGAAAGAAAGCTTACCAATCAGAATAACTTCGAAATTTGTTGTCAAGGTCATTATTGGAATTAACAAAAAGCACAACACATTTTAATTTCCCCCAACTGAATTTTTGTTTTAACGATAGAACAAAGATTATACCGAAACAAAAGGCACGAAACTGCAATTTTACCTTAATTATTATGCTATGTAGTAAAAGAAATTTTTACACACCTTTGCATAATGCTCTAAAAATATAGGAGGTTCCTGGTTTTTCTTCTCAGCAACCTTGCCAAGCATGTATTGATAAAGCCATCTTTCGTCATGGAGTATTGGTCCATCTTTGCTTCCAATAAATAAGCGAGCACAAGATTGAAAACACTGATTTGCTATTTCCAACATTTCCTCTTTCCTAGTTTCTAAAATCTCAAATCGTTCCATACTCAGTGTGTCCGTTTCCTGTTTCAACAATCGCGAACAGAATGAGTGAACAACATAGGCAAAGTTTCCATATTCCGTCCATATAATGTGATTGCAAGAATCTAGTTCAACAGCGTGTCTATAACTAGACTGAGTCAGTTTCGCCTTTGCCAAGAGCTTGTCCTCACTTCTAAACGTGAAACGAGAAACACGTTACCATTAGCTTTATCAAAAAAAATCTCCCATCTATTATTCAAATATATTGGATTGATGGAAAGGTTTCGACGCTTTTTTATAAGAAATAAAAAGAAGAGTTCTCAACTGGTCGCTAACTAAACCAAAACTGAGTAAAGACAAAGACAGAAGTGCCCTTTGTACACGTTATAATAGTTTGAAATCAGGTGTCGTATCGAAGACAAAAACCTTTTTGTTCGCCACGTATAAGAAACGTCAAACTTTTTGCACCAACCCAATACAATTAACAATACTCACATGGGCTTATATTTATTTAACCAAGTTTCTATTACAGTGCCCGATGACATTGCTAAACCAGTCCAAGAGTTTAATCTTGCTGGATGAAAGCATAAGTCTAACAAATAGTATCGTATCGCTGCACTCCATTTACAATTTTTGAAATAAAAATCTCCCAATAAATAATAAATAGTAGACATGGAATGTGGTAAAGGTTTTTTAACCGTTGGCATCGTGTCTCGCTCGCCCATTGTGTAAGCCATCATTTCATCGATTACTTGATTTGGATCGCTTTCCGAAGGAATCAATTTTATTATGCGTTTAAACAGATCTTCCGTATCCGCGCTAATAGTCAACGATCTCGGCGAATAGAATTCTGGTATTTGCTTAGGCTTGTAAAAATCGAAAAGTAATTGCGCACCCTCCCATGTCACCTTCATCTGAGGCACTCCGTGTTCTTCGATATGTTTAGGTCGTCCTTTATTCACTTTATTGTAATGACCATAGAGGCAGAAAAATATTTGTTCCAAGTATTTCGAAACTTTACCTTTTATGCTAGAAAATTGTGGCGTTTCTAATTTTGGAATAACCAAATTTAACGTAAAAAATAACAGTTTTGCCTCGTTGTAACAACACCACGAATGTCTGCCCATAAATTCATGAGCAATGAATAAAATCATGATAGATGCTGGTACACCTTCATCTTCATCATCTGACTCTGAATAGTTAGCACTGTGCTGCCTATTTTTATAAGACGATTCAACTTTTGCTCTTTCTTTGTCCTCTTTATATTGTAGAATATAATGTAAAAGGATCCAGGGAAGAACAGTTTCGAGTGGCATTTCTACAGTAGTGTCTGACACGTCTAACTGATTACAGACAATATGAACTAAATTTTGCACTAATCTGGAAAGTCGAACCTCTGGTAGGTATTTTAGAACGAATGTGCTAACTTCGATAGTGCATGCTTCTAGTTTCTCGAGCGACATTAAAACAGAACCTGTCCACTTTTTCTGTTCAACTTCATCAGATGCATTTAAATAATTCTGCCATGCTTCGTTAAGACAGGCTTCTGCCCATACATAACACTCTTCGTATTGCTGAAGCTGCCATAAGCTATCTAATAACATAGATAATTGTTGCACTCTATCAACTATGTTATCGCTAACGGACAAAAATTTATTCCCTTGCTTTGCAAATTTAAATGTATCTTGTAGTACGTAGGCTAGTTCAGCATATTTCTTTTCGTCATACAAACTTTGTATCTCACCTAATTTCTGTCCCCTGTTTTTAAAATTTACATTTTCTTAGAACTCTTTCTTTCAATCGTGCTAATGTAAAATCTTTTTAATCAGATACCTACCTTTGAATAGACTTAAGTTTCTTTTCAACAATTTTAATACTGATTTGAGGATTGTATTTGCAGTTAGGTAATTTGAGATAAATACTTTGATTTCGTTTTTCCAATTCTTGTAAATGATTTAATAACTGAAAATAAATTTAGTATTGAATTCTTTTTCATTGAAGTACATAAAAATTGTAATATTTATTGAGATAAAAGCTTTAATCACTCACCAATTCTAATGTTTCAATAACTATATCCGTGTCTCCTTGACACAGAAAAATATTAGCTTTAAGCCACAACACCCTCACCAGTATGAAAATATTTTCTTCACTTATAATATCTCTTCTGACGCTTGTAAAAATGATGTGACCCAATTCTTCCGATGGCATTCCTGTACCAAGTTTATCTAATCTAAAGAAAAACATTGCTTGTTATAACTTCTTTTACTTCAAATGTATCATATATTCACAAAACAGTGAAGATATATGAAAAAGAAACTATACGTTGAAGAAGGTAAGATGTCTGGTTTGTTGTTCAACCATTTATCGGTGTGAAGTTCACCAAATAATAAAGTCATTTCAGCATCTAATTTTAAAATATTGTTATTTACATGTTCCTCAAATGGTGACGGATGTGAAATGTGATCTCTGCAGAAAGATGAAAACAATTATGAATTATTTTATAGACTGAGCTCAAAAAAAAAATTCATTTTCTTCATACCTCATAAATGTATATGCTTGTAAATATATTTCTGTCATTCCTTTCGGCCATTCTTGATCCCATTTAGTGCATAAAAATTCAGTAAACTTTGCTATAATTATCATTAAGTTGCTTTTACCACTGTGTTCACTAATAAACATATTTACATCAGATATTTCATATTCTGTACCAAAATAATTTTGCTGACGACTGTAAAAAAGACCATTAGTAATCACTGATGTATACATGAATGTTTCAATAGGTTAATACCTTCTATCAGGACTCGGAGACTTTGAACTTTCAGAACTTTTAACAGTCTCCACAGCATTATTACTATTATTTTCTTGGTTAGTAAATAACTGATACAAGTCCATTGTATCCATAGAGTCGTCCATATTTTTAGAAGGATCATCCTTAGTTAGTTTTACTGTATCTGGCCTGATACATTCAAAATTATAAATTTAATCGGACTCATTTAAAATTTCAACAAGTTTTATGACTATAAAAATATTATAAATACATACAGTAAAGTACTAGGAAATATTCTTCGAAGAGTCTCTTCCAGTTGAATATCATCCCTTTCAGCTTCTCTTCTATTCGAACTTCTCACTCTTGCTGATCGTCTCATGCTGTTACAACTCCAAGCCCACTGTTGTAAAAAACAAAGAGCACTTCTACGCCTTTTCTTTACTTTTTGCACTTCTTCTTTTCCCTCTGTCTTTTCATTAGATTTTTCTTCTGTCTTAGATTGCACTTTATCTACTTTTTTCAAATCTTTTTCATATGATTTGTCACTAGATTTATTGCTATCTTTATCGCTAACTTTATCGTTTTGTATTTCATTTCCGGTATTACTGTATACATCATCTGTAACTTTCTCAGGTTGTAATTTATCTACATTTTCATACGCTTCAACATTATTTTGCTCTTCTAAATCATTTTTTGGCTCATTCTGTTCCAGGATACCCTGATCTATGTCTAATATTCTCAGTGGATCTTCATCCTCTATTATTTGCACATCACTAGAACATGACTTTTTATCATCTTCCATGTCAGCTTCCATTGTCACATCAGTACCGTTATACACATGACTGTCCTCTAATGCTTCAAATGGGAAGTTTATGTCGTCTGTATCCATTTTAATTAATTTTTCATTATCGTTTTCCTTCTTTTCAGTTGTACTCAAAAGTAAATTTACATCTGTATTCACATCGTTGCCTCCTAAAGTATCTGCTTCAGTATTCATTTTCGAAGACGTTTCCTCTGAATTAAGAACCGTTAACTTAATTCTACTAACAAAACTTAAATCACTTTCCATGATGTATCTATGCATATCTAATAAACTTTCTCCTAAATCTAACCAGGTATAATTCTTTATGGGTTTTCTCAGGATTAAATCCGGCAAAGATTTTGGAGTAAATTCTATCTTACATACTTCGGCCCATCTTTCAGCAATAGCTTTTGCTTCTCCCAATAATTTATCTCCCAACATATGGTCGTATTCTGTACATAATGGTGGATCCAATTGCCAATCGCTATTATATAATTTATAACATTCTTCGAGACGTGGAATGTCTTTAAATATTCTGTCTCGGAAAGCTAAACCTTTCACATAATTAGGATCGCGTTCTAATGCCATAGAAATATATAAAAGACAGTTCATATAATCAGGAACAGCATATAAGGCAGTTATCATATTATCTAAACATGGCCAATGATTAGAATTACATTTCAAGCCTTGTTTAAATGAGGAACAAGCTAATTCTAAATTAGATATTTTTATAGCTAATATGCCTATTCTATACCACAATGTAACATCTGTATCATCCAAATTTGCTGCTTCCCAATAATTTTCTATGGCTTCATCATAGTCGCCTGATGCAGCTTTTAAAGCGCCGATATTTTTGAAACAAGAGTATTTCAATGACAACATTGGTCTGGATCTTCCATCTGGTACCTCAGGTTTCTCTACTTCATCCAATAGCTCCGTTTCTAATAAATCTTTAAAAATATTCAAAGCATCTTCCTGCTTATTTTCATTTAATAAAACTAAGGCTTTATTATATTCAGTAAGAGCTATTTGTTCCTGTAAACAGATGTTTATAAATTAATAATACGGTCATTAATAGTTCTTTATTTTTAATATTGAATATTTATATAATATTCGATTTATATAACATATAATAAAAAATTGTATATAATACAAAATTTATATAATAAAATAGATTTGAAAAAATAAAACTTTCATTATGAATTGTAATTCTCCATTAAATTCCTTTCAAACGAAAATGAAAAAATTTTCTTTCGCTTCATGTCATAATTAGGTACACGATTGAATATCAAATATTTTATCAAATTCTTATCCGATAACAAATATCCTTACTGTTACGCGAAGTAATCTAATTTTACAATTTAATGACAACTTTATAGGTTATAATTTTTGACAAAAAGAAAAGTAAACAGTTCCAATACGTACTTGAGCTTCCTTTGTAATCGTTGGTACATCCTCTTCTTCGCTTTCTTCACTGGATTCCTCGTTTAATGCCGATATTTTTATCATTTTCAGAAATTTCTTTGCAATCTGTACTTCTTTTAAAAAGATCAACAATTCAGCCGGTTTTTTTCAACGCCGCCATATTAGTGATCACTGATATGCTCGCTATATGCGATATATACACTGACAATCAAGATACCTTCTTGCTAAATGTGATTGGACTGAGGTAGAGAAAACTATACAATTATTGTTGCATAGATGCCTATATACATAATAATAATAACATATATATGCAACGTATACTATATAACATATATAGTATATATATATATATATAATATATATAGCATCTATGCGCAACAATGATATATATATGTATTCATTCACGTACGTATGCGCACATATTGTATATGGTGCATAAATGCATTATCCGTAAATGATTCGAAAGTAACGCATACATTTTGCGCAGGTAGTTATGCTATATTATGTAAATACAAGACTTTAATCTGCATAAATAGTTCATAAAATTTGTTACATTTAACATCTTATGTACGTTTATCTATTCAGATCATTATTTAATTTGTTATTGAATATGCAACGGATTTATTTGTTTATTTTAATTTGAAAATACAAATAAAATAGATATAACTTTATTAAAAGGAATATGATAAGGATCAAATTTTGATGAATCAATTTAATGATTCTTATAAAATGAAAAGTAAAATTATAAAAGTACACTTAAATTATTAGAAATAAGGTAATGTGTAAAAAATCAAATAATTGTATAATTTAATTTGAAATACAGCAATGTTTGTGACCTGGGGTAAGTATCAGAACATAGACTATAACTTTCTCTGTGTATACAATAATAAATATTAACCAATAGCAAGTATGTATATATACGCAAGTAAGTAATATGTGTTTACACATGTAAACTAATATTTAATTAATAAAATTGCTTGCACTGTATAGTCTATGTATTAAAAACATTTTTTTTTATAAATAGTACCAAAATATTTTATTGTACGACAGATACACAATTGTTTATGTAAATGTTTTAATAACTTAGCAAGATTATATGATACTACAATATATTAACAAAAGAAAATTAAATTTTATAGGGTTTGCGAAACAACGGAAGTACCATGATAAAGAAAGTTTCATTACACATATGAAAATATTATAACAACTATTCTAACATATTTATCACTAATAATTCCATAAAACTGAATAAAATTAATTCGATAATAAATTCACGATATACATCTAGTAATTCGTTGTCCCCATATGTATCCTAATAAAGCTGGATACATGCGAAACAGGAATTAACATTGTTCTAGTTTAAAAATAATTGTACAAATGTAGTTTTCGAAAAATTGGGTATCAGAAACTTCTATTACAAAATGATTACAACAAATCAAATCTACTTTTCTTATTAAATCTGTGTTAAAAGTTTTGAATACACATAATAGTAATGATAGACTGGAACAGTACACCAAAATATTTACATTATAGGGGACTGGTTCACAAATGGAGTTCAATCTGCAAAGCTTGACACGCAAAGCTTCCTTGATTCTGTAATTATAACCAATAATAGCATTACAAAAAGAATTCCTTTATCTACAAATGAAATGTATAAATCTTATAATGGTGAGATAACTCGCAATGGAATATAGATCTAATAATTATTTTTAATGTACAGTATTCTTGTGAAGTTCCTCTCTGTTTTACATATACCTGATCCTCGATTTACGTGAAAATCCGTTCCACGTGGATTCGGTTTACGAAAATTAAAATTGCGTAAATAGAGTCTATAAATAAAAGAGAAAACAAAATATTGAAAAAAAAAGCCGATATAAGTTTTAGAAATAGATATTTATTACACATAACCAAACAAAAGATAAAATAATGACATTTCAGAAAACAAAAGTACATTTTATTCGGTGTTACTAATTTACCGCGTAAATCGAGGGTCAGATGTAGTGCCGTTGTCACGATAAAATGTTATACTTATTTTTAGATCCCGAAATACAGAGATATTATTGGGCAGCACCTTTTTTACTACCTATTGGAGCAGCTTTCATTCTTGCCTTGCTAGTTCTTTTAATGGTAATAATTTGTTTGAAAATCCTCGTATAATCATGTTTAATATATTAGATAAAATTTAATATTATTTTTCTTGGAAATATAAATTTAAACTCGCGATAATTTCAGGTTTTATTCAAAAGATGTCCACACATAATCGTAACGAGTATCATATCGATTCTTGGAGCACTTATTTTATTTGGAATACAAATATCAATCAAACAAACCTCAATTTATATTTAATAATGTCTAATGTTACTAATAGAGGATAAAGTATTTGTTAGTATGTTGAAAACATGGTGGACCAAAGCTAATATAAAAATTATTGCATCAAAATATACGTACGATTATACATTTAGGCATATATTCAATTTTCATAATATGTAAAAGTACTCCATTTGGTAATTATCTCAAATGACTAACATGATTTATGTACATATAATATTTACTATATTAGTCTGAATGAAAGCAAATTTTAAAATAAAATATGTTACTCACTGTTAGCAATTCTTGATGCTTGATTTCATTTCGATCATATTTTTCGACACGTTTGTTACTTTTTGCTCGTACACATTTAATGCTTGTAGTAATTTTTGATAGGCCTGCGATAAATATTTTTTATTTATATGTCTCTCATTTTTATGAGATAATAATTTACGAACATAAAGAGTTCATATATTACCTCAGAGAAAATGCTGTTTTCTTTACTAGCTTCTTCTAATTCATGTAAAAGTACTTCTAATGTATTAAATGGCAACCAAACTGCTGGAGATACAGAGGTTAAGAATGTTTCGAGGCCAAAATGTTCTTTGCCATCTCCCAAGATTGCATTAATATATTCTACCGCTAAATCACTGGCTTCTATTATTCTTCCACTATTCAGCATTAGACGAAGGAGTTCTGCAGCATTCCGTTTCTGCAATGTGGAAAATATTAACTTTAAATTCTAAACAAAGTTATCAGTTTATGAATTACTCACTTTATATGAAATTAACAACCACTGAGGTATAAATGCCCCTTCCTTCAGTAACTTGCCAGAAACTGCCTTATGCAACTCGCTGCATCTATCTTTTTCATGCTTTAACGTTAGATATTCTAATAACCTCCAAGCAGTATTTGTACTGTTCGTATTTGAGAGACCAATATCAAATATATCATTTTGTATTAACCAATCCCAGGTATTTGAATCTTCCCTTCGACTTAATTGAAGAAGTCGAATGCACTGAGAAGTCAGGCTTTCAAGTACAGAACTTTTATTAATTTTAAATTCGTCGCACAAATGTAATGCTGTTGTATATAAACCAATGGTTGATAATATAATAATAAGTTCCGAAGGGTCAGCATGTGCAACGATCTGTAAATCTGAATTAATTTTCGATATTTTTAATCTGGCATCCACTACGTAGTATTCTTTCTTAATATCGTCCAATTCAAGAACTTCTATTTGTCTTTTTATTTTATAAGATAAAATATCCTCGTTGGTGATATTCCCTCTCGATTGTCGATCAAAATGATTCAATTTTTCCGGAAAGTTATGATCTATTACAGGTCTAACTATCCACCTGTACTTATCGGATACAAGGTATAACGCATTAATGCATGCTAATAAACATTGAGCTTGCCTCGATACAATTGGAACAGATTGTGATTCTTGACTTAAACGCATAGCTTGCTCATACATGACAGAAGCAGCTGAAAGAAAGAAATGAATTAACTGTTGCATTACAAATTTTTAGTCATTGATTTATTATGTAATAAGTAATTAAGGTATTTATTTAAAATCTTACCTTTACGCATGTTACCCTTGTTTATGTGAAAACTATATAAGAAATTATAGTAGTTATTCTCCATGAGATCCACACTTCTGGCTCTACCTTCTACAATTCTTTCGAGGTCTTCGTACATATCCACATATGGAAATGAAATTAAGTCTATAAGTTTTCGTCTCTCAAACAGAGTTACTACTAGCTGTCTTAAACAGTCCACTTTACGTGCAGCATCTGGATTTGAGTTTAAACAATTGTACGCCTTGGTATGATGACCCAAGTTCAAATGTTGAGTGAACACTATAGAATGAAGCGTTGGTAAATTGGGATCATCTTTATCAGCCATTAGTATAGCTGTTTCGGCAAGTTCTATAATACAATCGGCAGCAGTATGCTCTTCGAAAAGTTTAATGACTTTTAAATAATACTGAATTAAAGAATTATTTTCTGATAATACACTGGTCTCGAGTAAAGTGTCAGCCAAGAATTCATCGGTTAAAATTCCTCCAGATGCTCGAAGGAAATGATCGCAAGCTTTATGTGCTTCTCCCATTTCCAACAACGCGACCGCCAATATAAATTTTCTCGACGCGCTATTCCATTCACACCATGTGTTCAGAAGTCTGACATACTCTTGTACGAGCAAAAATTGACAACTGGATAAAAGCCATTCTGGAAAAATAAAATTGCCCGACCTTGGCCATCTGTTGAAAAGTTTAATTAAGGAAATAATTCATTATTTGTGGAGAGAAATAGTATAATATATACGTAATAGGCAATACATATATTAGGTCCTGTAATATGAGATGTCGAATATTTCTTACTCGTAAACATTTCTATTTTTGATGTCGTTATTCCTCAGTTTTTCATACAATCTCTTAAACAGTTTCATTGTCGATTGTTAGAGTAACTCTTTGCAAACAATTTTTTCCGAATTGTGCATAATAACTACTTCTTACATCATTTTTTTAAAACATTCATGTAAGTTTCTTATATGAATTCAAACTTGGAAATAATGCTGCAAAAACCGCTCAAAATATAAACAAAGCATTTGGGGACAATACTGTGAATGAAAAAACAGTGCAGCGTTGATTTGCAAAATTTCATTTCGGTAGTTTTTTTGCAAAATGAGCCGCTTGATGAATCTGTAATGTAGTTTATAACGATATCTTTAAAATTGATTAATTCTAAACATTCAGAATTTCCCAAATAAGGAATATATGCATTAAAAACACGTTAACAGAAGTGTATTGAATCGAATAGAGCATATTTTGATTGAATAAACGTCTTTTAGAACATCACATAAGGTTTCCTTTTCATTACACGACTTAATAATATTTGTAAAAGGATACACCAGTTGTGCGATAAGCGTGATGTGTGTCAACATTCCGTAATGCCATGGTATTAAAGTAGTCGCATCTAAATTTGTGTGAGCTATCAAATTATGAGCATATTTTGCACCACTGCTCTGTATAAATAATTCTAACAATGATAAAGATCGATGTTGTCTAAATCCCACGTTTGCTCTTGAATCAACGAGCTTCAGCAACGCTAAGCGCTGAATACTAGAATCCCTTAAAATATTTATAACAATTTTAAAATATATTAAGCACTCGTGCAAGAGAAAAAATTAAGATTTTACTTACAACAATGATTGCGCCGGCGCTGGTAATGGTGTAGATTCACATATCCATAATACAACATTATATGCTTGCGTTAATACAATTGTTCTCGGTGCTAAAGATGATTTGATAGAGTGCAACGACCGTGAATCAAATAATTCCGGGCGTAACAGTATCATTTGTTGCAAAATCAAAAGATTTCTACAGATTGAAAATCTTAATTGCGTTATTTGAGCTACACTTTTTGATATTGCTGAAATCCCCAGCTGGCTACCGAAGAAATGATTTATACTGAGTAGCATTTTCGAAGCGTCGTGATCTTCGTTAAATTGTAACTTATGCGGTTGACCAAGGTCGTATGTTAAAGCTTCTAACAACATGGCTATGGCACTGGATAGATCCCTAATATTTGACAATCTGTGGCAACTAGGATGGTTCATGATGATATTACTAATAGGTTCTTCTGAATCAAGCATCAGCTTCGACAGCATTTCATCGATAATACTATCTGGGCTTTTTAGATGATACAGTTCTCGCTTGATTATATTTTTGGTTTCTTCTGACAACTGCTCTTCTAGTAGCACTAATACAGACATCAATACAATGAGATCTTGACATATATCGTCATCTTGCGATAAAACAGGTGTTGTTTTAAATCGAGATATACATGACTTCTCATTACAAAACATTAAATATTCTAAAGCTTCCATTGGTCTTAGAAGAGAAAATGATGATTTTTTAAGTAAAACAATTCCATAAACGCTTGGCATCAATAATAATCCTACAGGCCTTGCACTATTAGCATGGTACTGTATTACACAAGAGTAAAATCTTGACCAACAACGATTTGCAATTTCTAGATAATCTTCATCCATTAGTTCATAATCCATCACTTCTGCTTGTATTTCATCTTCTACTGCAATACAAACACGGTCTTTTAACTCGGTCGCAGAAAGAATGTTGTCTTTTGTATTCCTTCCATGGATAATTGTGAAAGATTTAGAAAGGACGTTAACATTAGTATTTTTCTTTGATCTTCTGTAAATATTTAATGCCTTTGTAATATCCGTTAAAGAAAACTGTCCAGGATGAAAAATGTAATTAATGTATGCCCGTCTTGGATTAATGTCAGGATCACTAAGGATGTAGTCTCTATCCGGTGTTTGTTCTAGAACTGTTGTTTCCCATTCAGAGTTAACTCTTGTGCCAGTCAATGACAATTGTGCATGTGTTACTTCAACTGTATCCATATCAATAGTTCTCCATACTGCCCATAATCGTGTAGTTGTGAACGAGAAATCAACTAAATGTTGCTGTAAGTATAGGAATGTATATCACTAACAATGTACAAGAATAAATTATATACCTAACACATTATTTTTATTATATACTTACATCCTGTGCAAATCTTGTACATAATCTTACAAACTTGAATATGCCATTATCTTGAATAGGTTTTAAAATACTAAATTCACATCTAGTGCTAAATTTTAAGAAAGTTCCTAAGTATAATTCATTATCAAGCCCTAACGCTTTTCTCAACATATGCCCTTGGTCTCCTTGAGATGCTACACGATTATCAATGGTCGCATCAGTCACAGCTATACACTGAGCTTTATTACAAGACCACATACGAATATTACCCTCACGACACAAAGCAAATAAATATGTGTCATTTCCGAAATTATGTATTACCAAAGACATAGCCACATGAGCTTCAGAATTTCGCCCTCTAAAAGCAGTTGCTATACCACTAAGGAATCTTGGCACTATAGAATCCTCCTTTAATTCGCTAGTGTGCACAGCACCAGTTTTTATGTCTAGTCTTAAAAGAAGTATAATTCCTGAATTATAAGCAAGTGCGAATAATGCTTCTTGAGGGGGTATGTACCATGACGTGGCTGCATGAGGCACTGGAGAATCTATATAGGGATTAGATGATTTATGTAAGATAAATACAATACTCAATGCTTTCTTTACTTACTTGTAGTTCCTGCGTTTGTAATAACATAGAACATATGCGGGTCCTCTTTCGCTTTCTTCGCATTTTGAGCAGATGCTTCGTTAAATATTGATTGTACACCCAAATCCTTGTATGTATTTAATTCCTGTGGAAAATGAATTTGTCGATATTGTAATTACATAGAATAACTAATTTCCCTTCAGTTTGTTTAAATTTCTTACATTTTTATAAATCCTTTCAGGATGAGGAAACGATAATTTATGTATACTCGAAACAGTCGCTATCAATATAATAACGGAATTTTCTGTTTCATGTATTGAAATACCATCCAAAATTGGTGTGTCCGTAAACTTATACCTCACTCTACAGTTAATCAAATTAATATCTAAACTGTGCTCAACCAATTCGAGCACATCATGGGAAATACGCCAATAAATAAACCGATTACGAGTGTAATATTTTGAACAATCCTTATATGAATAACCACCAGCTCTTTCTGGCACTTTTATATCTTGTAAGGTACTTTGACTTCCCCCTATAATATAATATAACACATTACAAGGAAACAACATATATGTTTAATTGTTATATTCTAAATCATTATTATAGTATAAATAGTTTAGTAATTATTATTATTATCATAAAAATACGTTGTACGTATATATATATATATATATAATTATATATATTTTACAATTTAAAACTTGAAGATGTTGTTTTCTAATAATTTACATTTTAATGAACAAATATCGCTTATATTTTTTGTAGAATCTCTTGCTTTCTTTGTAGATTTTTCATTTATTCAGCTATCTTGAAAAGGTTATAATCGCTCACCTGTATTTAATGTAATTTCGTTCCATTTTTCCGGTACCGTTTGATCAGGCACGACTTCTCGATAACCAAGTGGAAATTCTTCCATATTCCAGTTTAATTTTAAAATAAACACTATGTCAATTTAACTATCAAATTACATTACAATGCCGCTAAAAATTTTAGTATGTATTGAACGTTTATGTCACGCTTCATGCGGTTCATTTTGGCGCCCTCGATCGTTGTTATAACCTTAACTGCTTTGACCCGTTGATATAGGTTAAAATTCAGGCATGCGATGATATAGTTCTTAATAAATATATCTAAGTTGATGATCAGAGAAAATATGTAAATACGAATGAACAAAAGTTAACCAGAAAGACACATATTAATTGCTACTAATTCCTGTCTAACAACGTATATATTAAGATGAAATGTACAACTAATTTGTCGCCTAGGATATTTCAAATACATGTTATGGCTTCTTTACCGGTTACACATTAATAGTAAAAAAACAGTGAATAAAGTATGAATAAAAAAGTTGTCACAGTATTCTATTTAATATTGAATATATTGTTTTCAATTGTAATTGTACTATTGAATAAATGGCTATATGTCCACACAGGCTTTCCAAACATTACATTATCTATGATACATTTTATTATTACTTTTGTGGGACTAATAATCTGCGAAAAATTTGACGTTTTTTGTTTAAAAGATGTAGCTATCAAAGAAATGTTATGGATTGCCATGACCTTTTGTGGATTTGTTGTACTTACAAATTTAAGTCTGGCATATAACACAATTGGAACTTATCAAGTGGCTAAAATGTTAACAACGCCTTGTGTGATAATACTGCAAATACTGTTTTATAAGAAACATTGTGGTTTACTTGTTAAGTTGACATTAATTCCAATTATATTGGGAGTTGTAATTAATTTCTATTACGATATACAATTTAATGTTATTGGAACAATATATGCAACTATGGGAGTATTCGTAACATCTTTATACCAAGTGGTAGGACATTTTTATTTATCTCTTATAAAATTAATTGTTTCATATAAAATCGATTTTCAAAATATATCTGTTATAGAATAACTGATATGTCTTAATGTATCAATTTCATAAATGGACTTTTCTTTATAGATGCTGAATACAAAACAGAAGGAATTTCAAATGAATCCAATGCAATTATTGTATTACCAGGCACCTTTATCTGCTATTCTATTATTCATTATTATACCATTTTTAGAACCTGTAGAACAGACATTTACACAGAGTTGGTCACCGATAGATTTAGTACGTTAATATATGAAAATATAAAGTATCGAACAAGAAAACAATGCATATTTTATTTTTAGGTCATGATTGTGCTATCAGGCATAGTGGCATTCTTTGTCAACTTAACTTCCTATTGGATAATAGGGAAAACTTCACCACTAACGTATCCTTATCGAATATTTTATAAGACATATGATTTCTCAATGCTTTGTTATTCCTTATAGACTAATCAGTTATAATATGGTTGGGCATTCTAAGTTTTGTTTGTTACTTCTAGGCGGATCGCTCATTTTTCATGAAACATTAGCCATGAATCAAGTAATTGGGATAACATTAACATTGATTGGAATTATTTTGTATGCACATGTAAAAGTGAGTACAGCAGATTTAAAACTTTATGAAGTTATAAAAAACATCCTCTTGAATATAATTTAATTTTCAGATGAAAGATGCTCAAACCGTAACAACAAATTATGAAGAAAAAGAAAGAAGGCCGCTACATAGAGTATAATTTTGTACTAATATTTGTGATATGTAATAAAAGAGAAATAGTAATATTGCTTTTTTAAAAAAGTTTCTTCCATTCCTTAAAAAGTTTGTAAAATATTAAAAAAGTATTTTAAAAAATTAATTATCTAAGAAGGGAAAGTAGCAAAAGGAGGGTCGCGGTCACATCTAGGGATAAGGAGTAAATAGTAACACTTGCAGAAGTAAACTTTGAAGATCATTTTATAAATCATAGAGCGTTGCTCAAACATTTTCCCAGGTGCATCGGACCCGACAATACGTCATCTAAACCGTTCTTATATAGAAACTAAAGTGCGAACCAAACACTTTCGAGAAAATGATAAATGCAGCGGACATCTATCGGCAAAGAAAAGCGTTAAAATATCCATGAATTTCGTAAAGCAAATAATGTTTGATCGGTATTTCATATTGTGTCTTTTAAATAGTGAAATTTATGCTTTTTTCGTTTGGTTTAAACTATTATTTATATTAATCAACAGAAAAAACTTTAAAACGTATTTTCGCGGGAAAATAAATTTAAATTTGACTATTTAAAATCGCTCATTAAGTGTTAATCACAATGAAGATTGTTTCTATGGTTACGAGAAACTTGAAGTGGGGATAGAAATTGTATCAATCAAACACCTGCGTAAATACGTAGCAACGTGATCCTGATTTTTCTAAAAGAAAACTGTTTACAATAGTGAAGAAGAATGAAGATTGAAGAAGTAAAGAGTACTGCTAAAACTCAAAGAATTTCAGCTCATACACACATAAAAGGTTTAGGTCTTGATGAAAATGGGGTAGCAATACAATCCGCGGCCGGTCTTGTCGGCCAAGAAATGGCTCGTGAGGTTAGAATCCTTTATATACTTATAACTTGTACATATATAAAAGAAAAAATAATTAAAACTTGAGTAATAATGTGGAACTTTTTAGGCTGCTGGAATTGTAGTTGACATGATAAAATCTAAAAAGATGGCTGGTCGAGCTGTATTATTAGCTGGCCCACCAGGTACAGGAAAAACTGCAATTGCGCTTGCTATTGCACAAGAATTAGGTAATAAAGTACCATTCTGTCCCATGGTGGGCTCAGAAGTTTATAGTTCTGAAATAAAAAAAACGGAAGTGCTTATGGAAAATTTTAGACGAGCTATTGGTCTCAGAATCAAAGAAACCAAGGAAGTATACGAAGGAGAAGTTACAGAATTAACTCCAGTCGAAACAGAAAATCCAATAGGTGGATATGGGAAGACAGTATCCCATGTGGTTATTGGATTAAAAACTGCTAAGGGTACAAAGCAATTGAAACTGGATCCTTCCATATACGAATCTTTGCAGAAAGAGAAAGTGGAAACAGGAGATGTAATTTACATCGAAGCAAATAGTGGTGCTGTAAAAAGACAGGGCAGAAGCGATAATTTTGCTACCGAATTTGATTTAGAAGCAGAAGAATATGTTCCGTTACCCAAAGGCGATGTACATAAGAAGAAAGAAGTTATTCAAGATGTAACGTTACATGATTTAGATGTTGCTAATGCTAAACCACAAGGTGGACAGGATATCATGTCCATGATGGGACAATTAATGAAACCTAAAAAAACAGAAATTACAGGTAAGAATATTTGAATTAAAATTTGAAAATGCTTATATATATAATCTAAATAAAATTTTATCAAAATGACTTACTACAGACAAATTGCGCAAGGAAATAAATAAGGTAGTGAACAAGTATATTGATCAAGGAATCGCAGAATTAGTACCAGGAGTTTTATTCATCGATGAAGTACATATGTTGGATATAGAAACATTCACCTATCTTCATCGTGCTCTAGAAAGTGCCATTGCTCCAATAGTCATATTTGCTACTAACAGAGGACGCTGCATAATTCGAGGCACAGAGGATATTGTATCACCGCATGGAGTACCTCTTGATCTCTTAGATAGATTACTCATTATACGAACACTTCCATATTCTAGAGCAGAAATCGAACAAATAGTTAAGTTAAGAGCTACAACGGAGGGACTACAAATTGAAGATGAAGCTTTGACTACCCTTGGTGAACTAGGTACAAAAACAACTCTTAGATATGTAGTACAGCTTTTAACTCCTGCTGCATTAACAGCAAAAGTAAACGAAAGAACGATTATTAAGAAAGAGGATATTGAAGAAGTAGGATCTCTTTTCTTAGATGCAAAGTCTTCTGCCAAAATTCTTACGCAAAATAAAGATAAATTTATGAAATAAATGTGTTTATTCAATTGTTATTTAGTAATGTATTTTTTATTTAAACTTCACCTATTGTTTCACTATATTATAAGCGTATATATACTACTGATCTAGTTGAATTGAAATTTTATAAATAAAACTAAAAATTTTTGAACAATGGATATTACATTATTTTTAAATATTATTTGTTGTCTCCTGTATTTTTAAAATTATAAACGGCGAAACTACTTCATAAGCACAATGCGCAATATTAGAAATATCAGTGATAAGCGAAGTTTATTATTTCAACAGATGTAAAATAATATTTTTAAAGCTATAAGTCATGTTTATGAAGCTTATTACTGTTTATTATTATTATTACATATACACATAAAATAATAATAAATATATATATATAAAATTATGTTGTAGTGATAATTATTTATCTAATTTACAATATTATTATTAATTCAATGCATTATACTTATATACGTGCGTGTGAAGGTAGTTTCTCAATACTGTGTAAGATATATTACAAGTGAGGGGTTACAAAAGTTCAAACTGTAATCAGGAGTTGTGACATCACTAGACGATAGGTCTTGTGGTATAAAATCTCCCTCTACTTCAATGTACTACTTAGTTTTCAGAAATCGAAATGGTTATAGTATTCGGCTATACTATTGGAACTATATTTTTGTAAATTGAGTAGTCACCTAGGAGGCATAATGCTGCATATGTTGGAAATTGCAAAGTGTTCAAGATTGTTAAGTGAACATAGAGTGATTCAACACCTACGTGGATTAGCATTAAATAATGCGAGGACAGGAAATATCAATGTACTTTGCCCTAGAGAAGATGAATTTGCACTTAGACACATTGGCCCGCGAGAAGAAGAACAATTAGACATGCTGAGAACCATTGGTTTCAAGGTATTGTAATGTAACAATTTGAAAACATAAAATACATTGTCACATAAGTTTCCTTGTAACTTCAGTTTCAACCATTTTACAGAGTTTAGAGGAATTAACGAAAGCAGCAATTCCAGCAAAAATTCTATATAACGAAGAATTAAAAATTGAACAATCGATTAGTAAGTAAATGTATAAAATGCTTCTAAAATGCTTTGAATAAAAAGGAAAAAGGAAGAGTTTGTAACGGTCTCGAGTCTGAAGTAGTTGAAATATAAGAATTATTGTGCAGAAACGTGGGAAGTCACGAGACTTTTGATAACGAACACATGAGAAGCGATAACCCTTTGACACTGAAACATATCCGTCAATGCAAGAACAACTTGAAAATATTAGGAAAGTCACATTGCGCGTGAAATATTTTTATCAATTATTCAATACAAGAGGAAAACTTAATATAAAAATCTTTTATTCTAGCATTATTAAATTAACAACTTAAATTTCTATTATTTAGGATAAATACATAAAAAGATGATGTATTGTTATTTGTGAACCATACTCACATTGGTATTCACGTGATTTTCTGAAACAGATATCTATTTTTATCTTATTTGTATTTATATTATATTTCCATATTATGGATTATAAGATATTCATTCAAATTAAATAATGTATTAATTACTATCTTAATATTACGACCATGCAATAGATTTTCCATTAAAAAATATATTCCAGCTGAATATGAATTATTGAAAAGAATCACGAAGATTTCTGAAAAGAATGAAGTATGGCGTTCGTATATCGGGATGGGTTATCACAATTGTTGCGTTCCCCACACCATTATGAGAAATATATTCGAGAATCCAGGATGGTAAGACATTTAAAAAAAAATGGGTCACCGATAATATCGATACATAATTGAAATGACAAATTTCCTTGTACAATGGCAATAGGACAACGCAGTATACTCCATACCAACCAGAAATTTCTCAAGGAAGACTCGAGGGTTTGCTAAATTACCAAACAATGGTATGCGATTTAACTGGCATGGAAGTAGCAAATGCATCGCTTCTGGATGAAGGCACGGCAGCAGCAGAAGCTTTGGCTCTTGCTCATAGGAACAACAAAAGGAAGAAATTATTCGTTTCTGATAATGTTCATCCTCAAACGATTAGCGTAATTGCTACACGTGCTACTTCCTTGGGTCTCACTTTAGAAATCGGGGATGTATTTCAAATTGACACCAGTAAAAACGATATTGCCGGAATCCTTGTACAATATCCGGACACAACTGGATCTATTCACGCATTTGAGGATATTGCAAAAAGGGCGCATGCTGATGGGGTATGTATTTCAAGGCTTCAAATGGATAACAATGTGACAATCATCAATAACTTATACATATATCTTTATATCTATGTATACCTACAATATGTTTCTGCGAACTGAGAACTGAGAACACCTAATTTTCTCGAAAAATATGAGTGATATAAAAAAATATCTGAAACAAAAATTATAGAAAATTAAGTGTTACATATCTTATTTGTTTGACTTTGAGATGACCTTGAACTGCCCTACAAATGTCATGTTATAAATTTTAAATGGAACAGTATATTTTGTATTAAATATTCCTATAGCTGACGTCGAGACGTTCCCGAGACATCATAAAACTATTATTTTTACTTAAGTTGTTGTTGGGATATAAACGTACAAATTTTACATGTCAATATAAATTATTTAATAAAAATCTATTGTCCCATTTAAAAATTTTAACATGACATTTGCAGGGCAGTCCAAAATCATTTCAAGGTCAATATAATATACATTTATATATGCGTATAATTACAGACTCTTGTCTGCGTTGCTACCGATTTATTAGCATTGGCTATTCTTCAACCTCCAAGTGCATTCGGAGCTGATATATGCGTCGGTACGAGCCAACGATTTGGTGTGCCATTAGGATACGGGGGTCCTCATGCAGGATTCTTTGCATGTCGAGAAAAATTGGTGCGTTTGATGCCTGGTAGAATGATCGGTGTGACGAAAGATTCAACAGGCCGTGATGCATATCGTTTAGCCCTTCAAACACGTGAACAACACATTAGGAGGGATAAAGCCACTAGCAACATTTGCACTGCACAAGCATTATTGGCGAACATGTCTGCTATGTATGCGGTGTACCATGGACCTGAAGGTATCAAGAACATAGCAAACCGAGTACACAGTTTAACCGTGACTCTTGCTAAAGGTTTGGAGAAAGCAGGCAATAAAATAGAAAACGAATACTTTTTTGATACTATAAAAATATCACCCAAGTTAGCCATGAGTGTTTTAAAATCTAATGCGACTTCGCATAAGATGAACTTTAGGTAATTGTTATACCAGAACGTAACGACTCGATAAATTGTCTTGTAATATTCTGAACAGACGTGAACAATTTTTCCAGATATTACCAAGACGGAATCGGGATATCCCTGGATGAAACTACGACCGTACAAGATATAAACGATATCTATAAGGTATTTGGTGCAGAAACAACGGTCGAAAATGTGTGCCAGGATGAGTTTTGTGTGGACGGAAAGTTGAATAATTCGCATTTCGCTCGCACCACACCGTACCTGCAACATCCTGTGTTCAGCAGTCATCGTTCTGAGACAAGAATAGTTCGTTATATGAAATCGTTAGAAAACAAAGATGTGTCTCTTGTGCATAGCATGATACCATTGGTAAGCATTCAATATGCATTAACACGTTGACTGCCACGACAATTTCGAGCGTTTGTATAGTGATACGCTTATGCTTTTATAATAAAGACAAATGATATTAGAAATAATTATTAACAATTTGGTATTGCAGTAATTATATTACACTATTATTTAGTTACTTATGTTACTAAATATTGTTATTCGACATGAATTTATTTATTGTAATTGTTCTCGAGTAATTTGGCAGCTCCGGTTATCGACGACTACCTTAACAGTCAACGTGTTAATCCTTTTCGGACGAGAATCTTTGAAAAGACTTAAAATCTTTAGCTAAGAAATTTAAATTATATATCGAACTAAATACTGTAGAAAAAGAGAATTGTGTATTGATCCGTTGTTATTTGAATAATTCAATTATATATTGGTAACTTTGTATCTCGGATACGAAAGTTTCATATTTCCAAAGTACTGACATTCGTCCTCAAAGGGTTAATGGCACTCCTTATTATAAACAGATTGCAATAATTTTTATGATATATATATATGTATATGTACATCTTGATAGGGTTCCTGTACAATGAAACTGAACTCCACTACGGAAATGATGCCCTGTAGTTTACCAGGATTCACGAGCATTCATCCTTTTGTACCTATCGAACAAGCCAGAGGATACCAACAGTTGTTCGCTGAACTGGAACATGATCTATGCGCTATAACTGGTTATGACAATATCAGCTTTCAACCGAACAGCGGAGCTCAAGGAGAATACGCTGGCCTAAGGGCCATACAGTGTTATCACGAGTCTAAAGAACAGAAACATCGACAAGTCTGTTTAATTCCTATTTCCGCTCATGGCACGAATCCCGCTTCTGCCCAAATGGCTGGTATGCGAGTGAAACCTATCTTGGTGCAGAAAGATGGTTCCGTGGATATTGCACATTTAAAAGAAATGATCGATAAACACCGAGAAACATTATCTTGTTTGATGATAACGTATCCGTCTACGAACGGTGTTTTCGAAGAGACGATTGGTGACATTTGCTCTATGGTTCATCAAGCCGGAGGTCAGGTATATCTGGACGGAGCTAACATGAACGCTCAAGTAGGGCTGTGTCGTCCGGGTGATTATGGCAGTGACGTTTCGCATCTAAATTTGCACAAAACTTTTTGTATTCCTCATGGAGGTGGTGGACCTGGAATGGGACCTATTGGAGTGTAAGTTTATTGCGTTCAGTCGAACATTCTAATGATCAATCGAATTCGTGAATCTTAAAGCAGCACAAGTCCACTTTGTAATGTTATCTATATGAGTTATTGATTTAACTGTTTTTAGCTTACTGAGACCTGTTTAATAATATTAAAAATATAGACGTAATGAAAGTGTATCTGTAGTCAATGCTTGCAGCAAGAATCAACAAAATAGATAATAAATAAATGAACAAAGATGGAAGGAAAGATTGACTTTTCTCGAAATGTTGATTGGTTGATTTGTGCTGTTTTGAAATGCATGGCTTCAATTCTGTTTTACAACAATGAAAGTAATTATGTCTTCGCAGTAAACGGCACCTTTCGCCATTTCTTCCGACTCATCCTGTAATCAATTGTACGGGTAATGGTAGCAATGAAAAGCGACCTGGTACAGTGTCGGCTGCTCCCTTCGGATCGTCAGCTATTCTGCCAATCTCCTGGGCATACATCAAAATGATGGGTCCTAAAGGATTAAGGAAAGCCACGCAAGTTGCTATTCTAAATGCTAATTACATGAGCAAAAGGTTAGAGAAGTTTTACAACACTCTGTACAAAGGGAAAACGGAGTTGGTAGCTCACGAGTTTATCTTAGATGTGAGAGATTTTAAAAAAACGGCGAATATTGAAGCCGTGGACATCGCGAAAAGACTGATGGATTATGGTTTTCATGCACCTACAATGAGCTGGCCTGTCGCAGGTACATTGATGATTGAACCAACCGAATCTGAGGACAAAGGAGAATTGGATCGATTTTGTGACGCTCTTATTTGTAAGATTGCTACTTTTTTATTCGGCAATATTAGGATGGTTTTATGAATTTGTTACTCGACAAATATTGGAAATTTTTCGTGCTCTCTTTTGCAGCCATAAGGCAAGAGATTAATGACATTGAAAATGGAAAACTAGACATTGCCAATAATCCATTGAAAATGGCACCGCACACTCAGGAGCAAGTGATATCGAGTACATGGGATCGGCCTTATTCACGGGAAGTAGCAGCATTTCCAGCTGTAAGTGTTTAGAATATGGTACTTATAAGAAACGATATAACATACAAATTAATAAACCGTTATATATTTCTTTGCATTTTAGCCATTTGTGAAAGGAAGTAATAAAATTTGGCCAAGTGTAGGAAGAATAGACGATATATATGGCGACACAAATCTGTTCTGCACTTGTCCTCCTGTTTCTTGAAATAAATAAACTATTATTTGTAATTAAGTTTTATCTTGTACAGTTAGTTCTAAGTAAATTATTTAAATATTTATTGTTTTTATATTTCTATACAAACATACTATTTATACATTAAGTATATTCATGGTGTACCTGTTATTCAATGATTAGCAAGATTAATAAAAAGGACTAGATAAAATTGCATCTTTATTTCGTATATATTATTATACTTACAATATAAAAGAACATAGTCTTGAATTTAGATCCAAAATCTCATTCACAATTTAGATGTTATTGTTTTTATAGAAAGATGATTAAAAATAAGAAAGTATTTAAGATTTTCTTATTTCGTTTATTAATTATTCCTTGTAATTAATTGCTAATTATACTTCCATCTGATTAATTTATTTTTGTTATTGCTTCTTGCTGAATTCTTTATCTAAGTACATTTTGTCGCAACAATACGATTGATATACGGATGACCTAAATATTATATTAACACTCTATTAACAAGATTATAACGTACATAATTTTATGCCAAATGGCATCATTTGTATATAAGGTGTTAATTATATTATTATTTTTCAGAATACGCTAAGTAATTTTTCATAAACTAGTCGCTGATAAGATATTATAACGTATTTGGTTAATTATATTACATTTAATTTTTTCTATTTATAAATAACAATTACAAACTGTTCTCTAAACAAAATTGATCAAGAATATCAATCGAGATACTCTATTACTTAACTATTACTTGCAAAAGTTTTAGGAGTGTTGAATGAAACATATTTAAATAAAATGAAACCAATATAAAACCTAATTTAGCACATAGAAGAAATATTTATTTTTACAATTCTATAGTAACAGATAAGTCTAAAAATATAAATGTTTAAATAATGAATACAATTTTCTTACTCCTTTTGCTTCTTAGTATTATAATTTCAAAAGTTATATAAATCTAGGACAATCAAAGAAATATGCACCTTTGAAAATTATTTTAGTAAAAAGTACATAACCATCTAATTTTCAAATTATCCTTAGAATTAAAATCTTAGATTCTAATTAATTAGAATCCAAAAATAATAAAATTAAAAAATTATGTTCCCTATGAACATTTTCAAGAATGCTAAACCCAGTTGAACTACCTTGCGAAATAAACTGAAGAAAATCAATTTTTTTTCTATTTATTAAAAAAAAACTTCCTCGTAGCTACTTTAGAATTCTCTACCAATGGTACTAGGGCTGAATTTTGCTGCACATTTTCTTAACGTAGAATGTATTTCTTTTCTTGGGTAGGGATTTTGGTTTAAGGGAAGTACACCACTTAGAGACATTTTAAATATAGGTAAACTTTAGGAACTTTTTTATTAATAACAATTAAGTAAAAACCTTTGATTTTTTCTGAGTATATCACTGTAACCTTCTGCTTTATATTTATATTTTTTCTAAGCTAAAATATTACAAAATAGCACAGTTATTCGCTAGCTTCGGAACTCCTTTTCGTAAAACATCCATTGTTGGCCGGCACGATTGAAAATAACTGAAATATCCGACGACAAAAGTTTGTATGAATTTATAAATAGAAATATATATCTTTGGTAATAAAGATTACCAAAATATTTACATATTTATAAACAGTTATGATTTAATTGTTTTATGAATTTGTAAGATTTTACCTTATTTTTAATTTATTTAATATATTTCATGTAATCATCGTTTTGATTCTGTTTTAATAAACAAATAAAATTAATCAATTTATTTCACTGAGGCTCTTCCCCTCTTCGCTTAGTCAGAGAGAAACATCACCTTACTCACTTCCCTCTCCTCTTTCAGCTGCTGAGTGGGAAGCCACTGCAAGTAGACTAATCACCACTACAAATGGTGTATAAGTACATACGCATATAAGTCTCCTGTTTGTATAGTACACTAATAGAATTGCGCACAATGCTAAAATTAGTCAACTGAGGAGTTGATGATTGTCTAATTAAGAGTCAATTATTAGAAGAGAAACAGTTAGATATTCTTGTTGTAGAATATTTTTTTAAATGAACAAAATGAAACGAACCCAAAAACCATAGTGTGGTTTTTAATCTGAAATACACGGCTGGAATTCCATTCCATGTTCTCTTAATCTTATTTTTTATCGATTCAATAGTGAAAAACTAAGAAGGCGAGAACTACGTTAATGTATATTCAATTAATATACAATGTATTTACAGTATATATTATTACAGATTACCATCTAGATATTTAATACATACATTATAAACCAGGCATAAGATATGCAATATTATCGAGCATCTGCGAAAGTGTTTCGTGTTTAGCTCCATTCGTTTCTGGCACTTGCTGCGTTAAACAAATCAAAGGTCCCAGAGCACACAAAAGAGAATCCAGCAGAACCGATAGACTGCCGGAAACTGCAATTTGTCCATCGTGTTCTTTTAATCGTTCACCAATGATAGTTAAGCTTTCACCGAGAAGCTTTAAATGGGCGGCAACATCGATCGGTTGTGTTCCGACTACTTTATACATTCCGGTGCCTATTAACGGTTCGTTAACTAAATCTTTCCCCGATCGGTTCGACGGTGGGGATACTGGAACATTTCCTACTACGGACGGTAGACCTAGCTGAATTGTTTTTTTAGAGGTAGCAGGTTTTTGCTCTTTTCCATTACCTGCAATAACATAAGACGAAAGAAATCGGTAAAGGACAGTATCATCAATCCGGATTGTTCTGATTTGCCTACGTATCTAAACGAGATGCATGCATACAAAACAAATAATAATGAAACATCTACCACAGAATTTTTAGGCATAAAAACAATATTCAGTTTGATAAAATTTTCACTAATACGCGTGCACGAGAAGCAAATTAAGATGAACAAACTACTGCATGACTTTAGTAGCATACTTGTAAAAGTGATGTTATACATGAGAACCAACAAACCCACCAATTTTATTAATGAACTTTTTTCGCGAAGCGGGCGCTGGCATTTTCCAAACAGGCTCATCTTTACTCGCAGGTAAAGAATGAGGTTTCGCTGCCAAGCGTTTCGCGCGTCTGCGCCAGTTATATTTTTCCAGATTCGGCACTGTAGCCCACAGTTCTCCTAACCGTTTCGAAATTGCTGCAAAATCTACAAAGAGCAATGTTTCACGAGTAACGTTAGCTTTGTTTCCTGATCAACTATAGTATAGAGAAAGAAATAAAACTTATATACCCATATATGGACATTGTTCTAGCAATTCTTGCCTAATTTCTTTAGCCCACAACATGTAAGCAGTAAATCTTGTTTTCTGAAAATATTATTGAATCATCAGATAAGTTCCCTTAATAACTGTCATTTGTACATACCCCTTTGTCTTTTCGTTGCGCCTTCATTCTACCTATGATTTTGCCATCTTTGATAATTAGTTTTTTCTTACATTTCTCAAGCATGTATAAACTATTCGCTTGAGAAGGTGTTTCTTGGCCAGGTGGCTCGAGTTTTCTAAAGCCTGTTTCTCTATCGTCTATCATAAGTGGATCTACATCGTCATCACTTCCAGAGTCCATACTGTATCTTTCATCTTCGTTCAACCCAGAGGGATCATCCGAATCTGATCCTGATGATTGTCCTTCGTTATCTGATAACGTTTCAGCCTTAATTCTTTGTTGACCAGAATTAGAATTAGAATTTTTTCTTTGTCGTCCACCACTCCCATGTATCGACCGAGTAGGCGATACATGTTCTGAATCATATCTATCCAACAATTGTTGATTTTGTAATTGCTGAGCTTTTTGACGTTTGTATTTGTTATCCGTAAAATCGTCTGGCGATTCAAAGTCGACAAGTTTGGAAGATTTCTTTCTCACACGGCCACTGCGGGAGATACCAGTGACCTCTAGATCTGAAATATAAAGCCGACTGCACCTTGCCAAGAAAGAGAAAGGATCCAAAATACTTTGCAACACAGCTAACTACCACTCTCACACATTGATCGAGAACTCACAATTATTACGTCTACGCATTGTATTTGAACAAATTGTACACCAAATGTACATGGGTATTTAAACATAGTTTGCTGCATATGCCTTTTCTCATTCTTGTCGGCAAACTTAACAATTTTTTTAACCGAAATAACAATCACCAATTAAATCTCGTGGACGCGTATTATGTGACATGAAATGTCTTATTTATAAATCTAAACAATAGATTCCCTGTATAGATGGAATATATAAAAATATAGAAATTTGAAATGAGCTTTACGGCCATTGCGATCCGTTTCATAATAATTTGTATAAATAATATATTATTTAACTGTGGTGTCATTCTATTAAAGAAATTTTATTTAGAAAATTTAATGAATAAGAAGAGAACCTAACCACAAATGTATTGTACTCATCATTAGTTCGACGGTTCTCCGCTACAAAGAAAAGCGCTAGAAACCAAAAGTTGAGCAGCTTGGACTAAAATATCGCCAAGGAAATTGACAAATTAGCTACGTACGCGCGCAAATCATGCGAAATATTACAAGCGGACACGAGCAATACAAGCAACTGTTCTACCAAACGTTTTCCTTTATAAAATAAATGCTGATCTCACCGTCACTTTTCTGACGTTTCGGTGTCACGAACATATCCATAGCGTCGCTTTGTTGTTCTGTGATGAGCCTCTTACGCCGCGGCGTCTTCTCAGATTTCGCGGGTTTATGAACGCTGGTTTGCATCACGCAATAATGACTTTTCTCCCTTTTTCTGAGGCGTATGCATTTGATCACATTTTGCTTGTTACTTTTTCGCAAACAAATCTGTTTCGTTGCTAAACTTCTCCGTTTTAATTCTATGACGTTTTTAAAAACAACTGCCGCAAACAAAACCAGAATGCACTGGTGTTCAGTACGTACGACGCATTCGCATGAACATCGCGCGAAATTTTCAAATCGGTCTGTCGTATCATTGACAATTGTCAAACTATTTAATGACGAATGAGTAATTTTTCTTCTTAAAGATTACGAGAAATGTATAAAAGGTTTATTTTGTCTGGTTCAATAAACATATTTATAACATTAAAAAATTTATTTGCATTAATGAAAATAATAATTCTATATATCATCTTCTTGCTGCCATCCATCTTCCTCAGATAAAAATCTTCTTTTATAACTAGTGTTCATGTAAGGTCTTAAAGCCCATTCTGTATCTGCAGCTGCTTCTGCGTCTAACGTACCAAGTTTAATTTCATAGAGCTTCAACTGAAATCTTGGTCCTATTTCTGTTAATTCAACGTCCTTCCCACTGACTTTTTTATAAGTGTGGTGTCGAAAAGATATATAATCGTCGTGATTTGCAAAAGTAATTACTCTTTTACTATCTTCCTTGGGCACAGGGAATAAATACTTCAAAATGCTAGTAACTCTTTCACTCAACTTCGTTTTAAAGTTGTGAAAAATAAGATGAGGATATTGTTCTGACATTGTTCCAATATCTGGTATGTCGTGTCTCATAATAACATCTGACATTGTGAAGTACGCGGTAGGTCCATATGGTAAATGACAAATGATAAGAGTATCTGGTACACCCCTATGTTCATGTACAATTATAAAGTCTGTAACATCATTTGCCCTACAGGCATGTATGAGCTGTTTCATTTCGTAATTTCCTCGATTCATCCGTTGAGAATTAGGAAATATTAAACGTAATTCTTTAACGAACATTTTCAATCTAGAACTAGGATCCCGAGAGGTGGTGATTACAATTTTTGGATTTTCTACTCCAGCCCATCTGTATTCGTCATCTTCATGAGAGGCTAATGCTCCACCCATTTCTGTACCCATAGCAACAGCCAATTCTGGCCCAGCATCTTCCCAATCCAAACTTCTTTGTATACGTAATGCATCTTTTCTAAGATCTGGATGTATTGGTATATTTTCCTCTAAACTGCGTTTCAGTTTTTCTTTTTTTTCTTGTATGCTTTTCAATTTATCCTGAACAGATTTTCTATACAAATATTCTCTGCGGAGTCTTGCTTGTCTGCGTAACATTTTAATCTACTGTTATATGTCCTTTTTCGTTCTGAACCTTTTTATTCTAAAATGAAAAATTAACTATGATACAAGTGTAAAGGTTATATCAAACACAACACGTGTTTACATGAAAGAATTCCTGTCCCCTTACCTAACATTGAGTGTGGGTAATTAAAATGAGCTCTTGTTTACTGTAATATTCTAAAGCATTCACGATATTTCTAATAATACATGAAAATAATAGGGTAAAAATCCCATAAATAAATGTTTTACAGCGAGTACGTTTCAGGTAATATTTTAAATCAATTTTTTTTCTGCTACATGATGCAGAAAATTTTCAGAAAAATGTCTGTAACGCCATCTATGTAAAATCAATCAGACTACAGCCAACATAAACCTCCACTGTAGATATTTTCGCAGTGAACTGGTTAAACATTCTCTCCGTAACGTCGCGTTTTGGAGATTTCCTTAACGTCTCATTTCTATTTTCACCGTCTCGTGGCGCTACTTAGCAGACTTCCGAGTAAAAAGAGTAGCGTCGAGTGTCAGCCAATGAAGGGAAAGACAAAGTGGTTTCCGCGATTCTCGTATACTTCATTGAACCCTCTGTTTCACGAAGTTACAAGAGTATTATAAAGTTACTGTAAATGATGAAATCATGTTTATTATAATTAATAAAAACAGGAAGAAATATAATTTAAAACAGGTTGAATCAGAGGCACCGAACAAAATATTTTAATTTATTTTTGGTGCATAGTAATCAAATATATGAAAATAATCTTTTGGTATCAAGCACTAACATCATTTACATATCGAGTTTCTGATCTATAGTTTCGTAAATTGAAACGAATATCCGTCTTGCGGTGTCGTAAATGTTTGAGCGGTGTCATACCATTACATGTGTACCGTACATTTTCTAGAGTCGTGTGATAACTACTAGAAGAGTGTAGAATGCTCTAGATTGTGCGTGAAAATGCTTGGTATAATTGTATCTGGTCGACTCGTAAGTATTGGCCCATTTCATAATTTCTAAATATTGTTACTACATTTTATTTGTTCAGTTTATGAAACTGTCAGTGTAATATGATTATAGCGTTTAATATATATGAAATATCTTTTGAAACAGTATAAGAGTTAATTGTTTACTTGCTCTTTAGATTTATCGTTTGCGTTTTATCTAATCTTTAATCGTTTTTGCCTATACTTATATATAACATGCCAACACACTGTAATAAATAACTCTTGTTTTGTGTGCGATACAACCTTCCTACTTATTACACACATTATAGGTGCAAACGGATTTCCAACAAATAGGAGAAAACCAATTCTTAATAACAGTACCTGATGCGGATAACATAAATCATATTGTGGTATTCCTTACTGGTACTATACCTTTTCCTGATGGAACAGGTGGCGCAGGTATATATTATATTATTACACGATACAACACACATGAATATAATTACAGGAAATTAATTGAAGTTTAATTGCTGTAGTGTATTTTAGTTGGCCGGATGCAAGTGCTCCGCCAAATTGGCAATTTCTTGGGTATATTTCCAATATTAAACCTTCGGCCATATTCAAAATATCAACACTGAAGAAGAACCATGAATTTGAAAACAGCAACGTAGGAATATTTGGAATTGGAAAGATTTCACATGTAGCACAAATAGGGGTTTCGATAGAACCAATTGGAGCCATAGAGTTACAGGCAGCTTCAGTATCTGAAGCCACATCGAATTCTTTCTTAGAGTTCGTACAAAAGATGCTTACCAGTTTCTTAAATTACGTATCTAGTTTTTCTGTAACTCAGGCACAAATGACACCAAATCCAATGGAAAATTTTGTACCATTGTCTACCATTCAAGGATGGTACGAAACATTCGAAAGAAGGCTACAGCAGAACCCAAATTTTTGGAAAGCTTGATGTGAAAGTGTAATTAACTCTTGCATTGTTTATTTGCGTTTTGACAGCACAACGTTTCTCAAGGCATGTGCATTTCTTAAAATGTGGTGTATTGGATCACGTCGTACTGTGCCCATAAACTTTAATTTTTTATATTCTCATTGACAAACAGTATGTGGTAATAATAAGAATAACTATGATGCAATCGCGTACAGAGTTTATCATTATCAAGGTGCAGAGTTTATCACCTGAAAATGTGCCTTAACGGCATTGATCTCGTATCATTTTCTTTTCTTTTTTCTTTTTATTACATACTAGTCGTATAATTAATTATGCTCTGAATAGTTGCGTCAATATGTAAACGATTCGTGTGCCATTTCTTTTGAGAAGAAAAGAGAAACGATCAATCTGTGATCAATCATTTAAAAAAAGAGTACACATGATACGAATCGTCATTATATTCATATTTCGATGCAACGATCACGAACTCGCGCGAAGTTCGAGTGTGCCATCTCGCAAAAAAATAATCGAAGCACAAACGGCCACCGAGAACACGACAGCGCGCTCTAGTTTCTTCGTTGAAACTAAACATAATTCATGAATCCAATTTTACATAATAAAGTTCGCTTAATAAACAGTACGTATACATTTTTTTTTACATATTAATACACGTATCGTCTTCATTATTATTATTATCATGATTATTTTAAACAATTTTTATTTTCGTACACGACAAATATCGAAATTCGATAACGCGTTAAAAATTAAAGTTAACAGCCGCAACCAATAACAAAACGTTTCCGAACTTCTCTATCTAATAAATATCGCGCGTTGGAAATGATTGCGAAGAGAGGGGTCGAGTGATGGAAACGCGGATTGATTTATACATATTACAGGCTAAATAATCTGTCAGTGTAACTTTCGTATCAGACGGAGAGTATTTTTGATAAAAATCCATTCCAAGTTGAGATACTTAATAATATCGTTGTCCCGCGAGAAAGGAACGGATAGGAAGGATTCTTTCGGTTGATGGAGATCTTGCGCCACAATGCAAGCCATTTTCGTGAACCCCCGTAACGAAAAGTAATTGTGTTTGCATCGAGTTGGTGCGGGATCAGTTACACGGAGTGTCGTTTATTTTCCAAGATATCTGCGCACGTAATAAATAATCTGGAAGATCTGCGTGTTTCCCACGTAGCCGAAATCAACGACACCGTAGCGTCTTTTCACGGGGAAATGATCTCTGCGTCGAATAATGTTCACATTCTGTTCCGCGTGTAAACGGCTGTCTATGGATTTTGCATGAGGTATTGAAACGACCGTCGGATATCGTCCATCGCGGAGAAATTTCCCAGTCCAAGGTAAGACGTTGTCACGGCTGCGAAGACTTGTCAATCGCTGTCCGACGTTCCGTTCACCAAGAAAATCATGTTAAAACGTTTCATCGTGTCGGTTCGTCGTGACACGCGCGTTATTTAGATTTTTCGTTCGCTTTGCAATCGTTTCTAATTGTGTCACCAGCGAAACAACCGTGTTACGATCGCGCGTGCACAAATGTAAATTAAATATAATATTTCCTTGTTCAAAGGAAAAAGAATATTCAAATCACGTTTCGAAGTTCCGGCTGTTTCCTACCTGTGATAATATTCCTTTGTAAGGTAGAATGGGGGTCCCGGAACTGTGATATTTGGGCGAGACGTGTTTTTCTATTTTTATTACGAGTATCGGTCGTTGGACGAACCTTCGGTGTTCGTATCGATAAACCTGACCTTTTTTTTTTCGAAGCTATTGTCCTACGCGGTGATGTTTTTCGTTTTCGCGATGCGAATCGATAAGCGGTAGCGAATTATCGTCGTGGCGTTTACTGTTGTCATTTCGACAACGCACCGATGACAAATATCTGCGTTCGTAGAGCCATGTATTCAGGTGTACGCGCTCGCAATACGTTTGTTTGCTGTAATTCGTTGCATTGTTCCTGTGTTTGTTTACAATACGTTAGTCAATCGACGCATTGTGACAAGAATTTTAACTATCAACAAAGTTTTAAATGATAAAGAATTTCATCCGTTAAGGTAATTTGGACTGATTGTACCCAACTCAACATATGCAAAAGATTATCAGTAATTTTCGAAGCTATTGAATGCAAAGAATGTCGTTGTCTCTTACTAATATGTATTGTTGGAAGAATGAAACAAATACGGTCTTGGTTTTCATCGAATAGAACATTTTAGTCCATGTTTCATAATATATGCAATTAAACTGTAATTTTCTTTGTAATCGAACTAAGTGGAAAGCTAAAAAATGTTTCAATGCCAATTAGTTGTGCAAGAGGAATAAAGTTTATATATGTTGCGTTACAGAATAGAGATGGAGAGTTCCGAAGAGCCAACGAGTTTGCAATCCATATGTCATTTACATGCTTCAGAATTATTTCCGAAACATACACATCCGGAGTGTGAGGATGAAACGTTGACAGTTCCGTTTACTCCCTTAAGTGGAGAATCAATTGTGGCGCTTGGACGTACAACAGATGGGGTGTTGGCTCTTTCCAACTATAGACTGTATTTACAATTAAGTCAAACGTGTCACATCATCCCATTAGGTTTAATAGAACAACTGGAAGTCAGAGAGATTTTCTATTTACACATCGGCTGCAAAGATGCTCGTTCCTTGAGGTATATCTTTATTTTCTTTTAATTACATTCAGTACGTCTCGGCGATGTATATATTCAATTGATATTTCAGTTGCGCTTTTTCCACAAATGAACATTGCTTCGAATGGTTCAAGCGTCTACACAAACTCACTTATTCGAGAAAGAGCATAGAAGATATATTCGCCTTTGCGTATTACGCTTGGTCCATCGAGGAAGGTACTGATTTCTCAAAGATTGGCAAAGACAATGGATCATTCGTTACTACTTTCAATGCTGAGGTGTGTAACAGGTAACATAGATTCGAGTTCATATAAATATGATCACTTAATTTGATTCATTACGCTTAGGTGGAACGGCTGAAGTTTAATTTACACGGTACCTGGCGGATTAGTCAGATTAATAAAGATTATCGAATGTGTCCTTCGTATCCGCCGTTGCTTTTGGTTCCTTCTTGCATTAATGACGCTACTTTGGAACTTGTGGCCAAGTATCGTAGTTCTAGTCGAATTCCTGCTGTTGTCTGGAGGTAATACAAAAGCACAGTATGTTTACAGTATTATATGACGTTACATGTTTCTTAATATTGTCCCGTTTGATTTCAGGCATGTGAATAACGGTGCAGTGATAGCGCGAAGTAGTCAGCCAGAGCTCGGTTGGTTTGGTTGGCGAGAACCATGCGACGAGAATCTGTTGAAAGCTCTTTCAGACGCATGTTCCTATGATAAGGGCGAATCGACAATGGTAGACTCTTTCACCGATGCCTGTGTCGACGCCACGGCCATAGCGAGCAATACCAAAGTGGGTGACGCATAAACAATACTCGTTATTACTGTAATAGTTTTGGAATATTTTAAGAAAACTTAGCAATTGTAATTGCTTGCAGAAAGTCTTAATTGTGGACGCCAGATCGTACACGACCGCTGTGGCGAATAGGGCGCGCGGCGGTGGCTGCGAATGTCGAGAGTATTATCCTAATTGCGACATTCAGTTTATGAATTTACCAAACATTCACTCCATACGTAAAAGCTTTCACGCAGTGCGACAGCTTTACGCAACGGACGCGGACCAGCCCACGTAAATATTGCTTACGAATTCACTGTATGCATTTCTCATGCGTTCTGCCAGCTTTCTCCGAAAGTAATGCCGGAACGAGATTTTACGAATCACGTCTGATGAACGATTTTCTATTGTTATGTAGTTGGCTTAGCCTTTTAGAAGGGACCCGGTGGTTACAGCACATGTCTGGATTATTACGCGCAGCGGTAACTGTGGCGACTGCGATCGAAAGAGACGCTCGACCGGTATTAGTACATTGCAGCGACGGCTGGGATAGGACGCCTCAAATAGTTGCTTTAGCACAGATCCTTCTCGATCCTTATTATCGAACTATGGAGGTACGATGAAGGTACTCTTTCTTTCTGCGTGTGTTCGTTGCTGAATAGTCGTTTCGTTACATTACTTTGTCACCATCAGGGATTCCAAATTTTATGCGAGAGAGAATGGTTAGACTTTGGGCACAAATTCGCAGACCGATGCGGGCAAACGGTGGGTTGCGATGATCCGAACGAACGATGTCCAGTATTTTTGCAGTGGCTTGACTGTGTACACCAGTTAACCGTACAATTTAAATCTAGTTTTCAGATGTCTTCGGCATACTTGGTAAGTGCAATGAATTGCATTTCAATTATAACGCGTTACTGTGATACACTTTGACATTTGCGGATGTACTACATGGTAATGATACTGTGAACAATAGTAAACTCATTAATTTTCTTGAATTAACCGGAATGTCGAGCATTTTAATTGTAAAGTGAAACCGATTTTGCAAATCGTTTCCAGCGAGAAATGTTGGGATCCTCTGTTCGTAGATCAGATGGTCTTATTACTTTTATATTATTATTATTGTTATCCTTGAATACAGAAGTATATTTTATCTTTGTTTCGATTTTTCAATGGTTAAGCAGTGACGTTGATTGGATTAATTTTAGGTGAAGTTGGCGCAGCATACGTATTCGCAACTTTTCGGCACATTTCTTTGCAACACGATACAAGAAAGACTGCAGTTGAGAATACGAGAGCGTACCTTTTCAGTTTGGCGCTTTCTTAATTCCAGTTCGTTCGTAAATCACTTGTACTCGCCTTTAGAGAAGCAAGTAGGATATTTTCCCTCTGGTATATCTACGTGTCTAGTGTATATGAAAAAGTCAGTTGTAGCACCGAATCGTGATTATGAATTTAGAGTGTATCGAGGATTTTTTGTTGTGCCAGGTATTATGGCCAAACTGCAATGTCCGGGAGCTCGTCTTGTGGCCCGAAGTGTATTCAGGTTCTATGGAATCTTCCGTCGGTATGCGCGATGATAAGCAAAACGTGGCGATGATAGACATTGAACGTGGCGAAAACGAGGAACCTCAAGGGCAAATGACTAAAACTCGCTCGTATGGAGATCTCATGCATGCTCCCGACCACACGGCCTATCTTCATCGTAGACTCAGCGATCCAAGTATTTCAGTGGAAAAGTAATTACCGTTATATTACTTTTTGTTTCGTATACATTATGGGGGGACACTACCTGGAGACAGCATAAACACAGATAAATTTTAGGAATTTTTTTGCTGTTAACTGAAAGCCTCTAATTTTTTTCTGGGTGTGTAACTGTAGTCTTCTGTTTTATATTTATTTATTTCTATGCCAACATGTTATAAAATGACGCAGTTATTCGCTAGCTTCGAAATCCCTTTTCGTAAAACATCAGTTGTTGGTGGACTCAATTGCAAACAACTGATATTCGAAGGCAAACATTTTTGTGGATTTATAAATAGAAATATATTATCTAAAATATAGCGTACGGGTCTTCCAACATTTTAATTACAGAAATGGCTAGCATTTGAAATACTAAAACTTGTTTTTACCTCCCAAAAATTAGCTTTAAATGTTTATAAAAAATTAAGTAATTGAGATATAGAGGAAATTGTATGCTACATTTTAGATAATATAAATTAGAGTAACTGCGCTATTTTGTAACATATTGGCTTAGACAAAATATAAATATACAACAGAAGATCATAGATGTACATCCAGAAAAAATTGGAAGATTTCACTTAACAGTTATTAACAAAAAAATTCTTAAAGTTTACTTATGTTTAGGATGTCCGTAGATGGTATTCCCCCTTAATACCAAGAACTTTAGTCCCTTGCCTTATAATAACGTGTCAGATTCAAGATAAAAATTTCAAACTGAATTTGACAAATCTAAGTGTTTCTTATTTATTTTTAATAGAAATTATAACTATTACTTGTCTACTATCGATCTTTAACCTTTGGAGTCAATGTAGACATAGAATAACTATACAATTTTTTTCTTTTTTTATGAAATTATTAACGATAAAATAGTTTTATCGAGTACAGTTAACCTTTGAGTATAAACGTGCGGTCTCACAGACTTCTATATAAAATATTGTGAATTTTTAAATCAGTAAAATTTTCGTTATATAGTTGATACTATTGCTATCTAAAAATATTTAAATAAGTGAAAACAGGTAAATACGATACATTTTTTTATTAGTTGCTACAAACGAGAATATTTAACATGACTTGGTAATTTTTAGACTTCTATACTTAAAGGGTTAACACATTGAAAGCCGCACGATTTCATAAAAAAATACACGAAATGGAAAAAATATAGTATTAAATCATTTCATTGAATTGCATTATATTATTTTGTACATTCATCTAGCTGAATGTCACCACATTAAGTAACATGATTTATAATATAGAAATGTTTTCAAATGCTCGTCGTTTAATTGAGTAAACTATAGTAATTCGATTTGATTGGGGGTTACTGGTGATCCCCATGGCATTCAAAATGTTAAGAAATAAATCTTAGGGCAAGGGGTTAAGAGAAGGACAAAAGAAAACATGAAACGTCTATAATGCAATGTCGTTTGTAACATGATTACAGAAAACTCGATTCCTTGACGCTCGAAGCAGTAGAAACTATGGAAAGGGGTGCAAATCATGCTGATGATTGCAAAGTTACCGTTTGTATGCAGAATAATAGGTCAGAGGCTGACAAGGATGAAGATTTGGACAAGGATTTAGATAAACCGAACCGACATAACGCGGCAACTACAGAACCATCGAACGATTCACCAGCAAATCCTTCGGTAGACAGTTCGACAGATACGTTAATACCTAGCAACGATTCGTTGCTCGATGCAACTACCCCCGACAAACCGATGTAAGTATCTTGAACGAAAAATACTGTCATGTGTGTTCACTCAACGAGACGAGATTAAAATTCGAGTGCCTTTCTGAGACGCACGCGTGTACAGGGTGTTTCAAAGAAATGTCATGACGGTTCTTTAACCCTAGGATGACCAAGTTTCGAGCCGTTACACGAATGACCAAGGGGGGGCTCGCTGTGCTTGGCGTTCAAATAATTATTAATATCTTCAAGCCAAAATCATCTATTCCAAAATCATCTAATTTTGAAAGTGTAATTGACAATAAATAATTTTGTGAAATTTTTTCAAGTGAGAGAATTGCTGTTTTCCTCAAATTTTCGATATGGTGCATCCCCCTTTCGGTCGTCCTAGGGTTAAATAAATAAATCCTTGAAAGGATGACAATCCTTTACTCTCCTATTCGAAATTCAACAACAATTTGCAGATTATTCATTTCCGATTCATGATTCCTCTCAAATTATTTACCTCAAATGACTGGAATACGATGCAGCAATAAGAAATTTTAACCCCTTTTTTAAGGTTAGGGTGAATTTTACAAACGTTTTCTTACTTCCTTTTCTGTGAATTGAAATGCGTAGAATCACACTGTGGTGGACGTAACACATATTTTTTAAACACCCTGTATATACCGTTAGGAGATCACTTGATGGCCGCGGAATTCAGCTGATTAATTAGTTTTCAACTTTTCTCATCCAATTTTCTGCTGGCATTATTTCTTAATTTCTGATATTACTGATTTACTATTTGTCAATACTTTAGCAATCAAAACTATAAACCTGTAAACTATAAGAATACCTTTTACCTTTGTATCTTTTTGCTAGATGTCAAGTCATCTACCAACAGTGTGTTATAAATCCTAGACCCAAAATACAAGTTTTAATTATAAGCGCGATATAAATGCGAATGCGAATCCGCATCCGTATTATGGTTTCAAATTCGGCTCGAACAGGAAAAATTTTTGTCGAACAGCAGATCGCAGGAAAGTTCACCGCAGGACATCGTTTCTTCGTGGGTGGAGACCAATTCGATCGGTCAAACAGTTTGCTCTTGCACTCGCAACTACAATCCTAATCACAGTCAAAATCATAACGAAGGTAGAGACCTTAGCGACACCAGTGCACCGTTAATATCTAGAACACCCAGCAGCAGCGTTTGCCCGGCTTCTCCAATTCACCGAGACACCATTCCGGACAATCTTGACAGACTGGACGACATTGACGGTCTTCCCATTATACGTTGCGATGTTCAGATGCGCGTGCAACAGATCATAGCGGAGCATAAGGTACTACTTCGACCGTTTTGGTCAGAAAAAAGCGTCAACACTAGAATTACCAAGCAATTGGAATTACTTATTCATAATTTTTTTTATAAAAATTAGAACAACGCATTTATTGAGATTTTAAGGATTTCTTATTCTTGTATCCGTACAAGTACCCAAATTTATTTTACGACCTCTCGCAAAAGTATCTTCGTAATTTGAATACTTGTAAAATAAAAATTGTGAAGTGGGTAAATTTAATCCGTCCGGTAGTTCTGGTGCTTACTAATTGATTGCCACGAAAAACAGTGTTTTATGTATCATGTTTTCTTTCTATAGCAAAGATAAAGAATTATTAATTATTTGGTATCACAATTCTTACGTTACATTGTTATCCAGCTATTTACGCTACTGAACATTGTTATTCGACATCAGTTATCTGACAAGTTACAATTATTTTCTTGTAATTTGGAAGCTCCGGTCATCGGTAACCACCGTGACAGTCAACATGTTAACATAAAGGAAAAAAAGTAGATAAGTTTGGTAATAATCGTTAAATAGTAATTCTCACGTTTCTTCCGCTTTACGTTTCAGTTGAAAGAAGAAGCATTGAGGAAGGAATTGCATACAACAAGATTGGCTCTGATCAAACAAGTCTGCAATCATAATACCACGGACACTGATCGTATTGACGACATTGTGAGTATTTGAACAGTTATCGAGGAGGGGAATACAGAAGAGTCTGAACGTTGTTCTGAATGATTTGTTAATTAGGAGGAAGAATGGCTAGAGAGTAGACAAAGAAAACAAGGAAGATGTGTTTCAGGGATCATTGCCCGATTCAGTGGGTAGTGCCGGCGATCATGGCGAGTCGTTACCATCGGACATGTCTTGGGAAGCGGTCGAGGAATTAGGGCCAGCTCCTACTTTGTGGGTACCTGATCACGCGGTCACTCGATGCATGGGTTGTAACACAGAATTTTGGCTCGGAAGACGCAAACACCATTGCAGGTAATACGCGTATACAGTGGTGCTTGGTTAAATTTTAACGACCTAACCCCACTCTTCTCCTGCCTCTCACAATCTCGAGCTCAATGTAACTTAATTTCGGTAGACAAGAAAAGGAAGTTAATATAATGAGTGGAAGGGAACAGACTATACAGTACTACAGACTACTACAGTATAGCTGAATAAGCACAGTAAAAGTGCCCCCAAACTAAATTAACTATAATACAGGGTGCCAAGTAACTGGTGGTACAATCGGATAAAGGCTATTTCTATGTAAAAAAATAAGTCGAAAATATAGAATAAAATTGTTCCATACGAGGCTTTGTTTCCGAGAAAATCGACTTTGAATATTCGCCAGGTACGCGTGAATTTGATTGGATATCTTGTTATTGGATCTTACTGTAGACTATTGTCTCCAGGGCTACCCTAACCACAGGGCTAAATAGGCTGTAGTCGCAGGGCACCAGGCTTTTGAGGCGGCAATGCGTATTTTTTAAGTATTGCCGCTACAAATTGCAATGGTGAAAGATCTTTTTCAACGCTGAAAAGAATAAAAAATTGTTTACGTTCTTCTTTGGGACAGGGAAAATTAAACGATTTAAGTATTTTATACTTTGCCAAAAGAAAGCTAGAGAAGTATTTAAGTTATACATGTAATAAGTTACTTTTGTTTTTGTTCATATAGGTTGTTTAAATTTTATATGAATTTTATATTTTTATTTGTTTAATTGGTTTTAAACTTGTACTTAATGGCAATACTGGACTTTTTCTAGTTCTGAAGCTTTTGTAAAACTTCACTAATAGTTTCGCTCCCGCTTCTCGTACCGTGTATTTTCTTATGACGAGGGGTACATTATTGTTAGTTTTCTACAGGTGTCAAATATTTTAGAATGGCCCTGATTGTCTCGATTGAAGTTTATGTTGATAAAGACTTCCAGCGTCACGAAAATATTTCTCTTACTTATTACTCTATTATCCTTACTACCCTATAGTAAGGTTTTCAAGTTAAGGCTAACTACCTAAAACTTAAAAATCCATAGAGGCAAGAAGAATCGATGCACGCTCTACTTATTGTAGCGTTTTATACATTAAAATAACAGAATGTGTTAGAAAGCGTTCATAGAAATTTAATTAGAAGAGCAAAATTATGTATTCGACAGAATGGACAATATTTTCAACAATTTCTGTAATAATAAAATTTATGGTTATTTTAACATCCTGTCTCATTGCGTATTTTTAATTGTTAAACACAGTAAATATTTTCGTGACATTGGTAGTCCTTATCAATATAAACTTGAATCGGGACAATCAAGGTCGCCCTAAAATATTCCTACAATCCGTTTTACAATCTACAGTGAAATCCAATAATGAGACATGGTCAAGTGCACGCATACCCGACGAATGTTTAAAGTGGATTTTTTCGGAAACAAAGCTTCATATAAAAAAATGTTATTCTATGTTTTCGACTTATTTTTTGATATAGGATCAGCTTCTATCTGGTTGTACCACCAGTTACATAACACCTTGTATATACCATTCGATAGACTATTCAAAAAAACCTTCCTAATTTTGTTCATAATTTTGTATAAAGTAGAACGAAAGGAATTAAGCTTAAACTATAAAGTGCGTTCCACCCCGTAACTATCATCAGTAGTATAATCTATTTATCAGTAGGGGTAGCGATTTAATATTTTATACAGTTTTTTTTTAAGAGTCCATCGAATTTGATTTGGGGGTACTTTTACCATGCTTATTGGGCTATACCCTTTCAGTTTCAGCAATTTTAGTCTTGCGTTTTCAAGTGCTGTATCAGTGGATCGTTGAGATTCTTCTAATTAAAATGATTCTAAACATGACGCCATGAATCGGTCTAGTTTTATGAATTCGATGAAAACGAACCTTTAATTTTATTAATTCCATTAAGTCGATAAAACTAGACCAATTTACATCGCCTTTGGACTCATTTTGATCAGTATAATCTCAACAATTCCCTGATACTACGTTGAAGAAGATAAGATTGAAATGAACATTTTCTTCATTGCATGTTTATGTTTTACTCTAACTTCGTCAAGCTGTATTCAGATCAATTCTTGGATAAGAACATTATCCTGCTCGCGAGAATTTTAACCCTTTCGTTATTAGTGATGACTGTAGCCATCCAACGCCTAACGGCTTGTTTCATCCATTATATATTATTGCATTATATTTTATGATTATATGTATTACAACTGGAATAAGGAATTAATAAATTACAATATGCCAATAGCCATTAAAGTTAGATTTGTAACGTAGCGAAAAGGTTATCGCTGGGTTCCAAAATTAAAAAATTTAACCGAGCATTACTATATTTGATTCGCTACGTTAGCAATTACTAAATCATGAGTGGATAGAAACTGCTAAAGACATAAATTTCCGTTTCTGCTGTAGATGCTGCGGAAAAATCTTCTGCGCGGACTGTTCAGAAAATTCAACGCCGCTGCCCAGTGAGCAACTCTACAACCCCGTGAGGGTTTGCAGCGATTGTTTCTCACGAATCCATCGGCACACGAGTCCCTGCCAGTGCAATGCTCGTCACGCGAGCAAAGGGGAAAACGACGCGGAGCTCCCGACGAACTCGGAAAATTTGGTAGCTTGTCCAAGATCAAAGGGTTTGAATATGACGAAAGACAGTTGTTGCGACAACTTGTTGCAGGTTACGCATCAAAAATCGCAACCACCAGTCACAGCAGCCACGGTGAACTGAGTAAACTCCTGGATATATGTATCACAAAGAAGGCGAAGCTTTCAGGTTACGGTTTGGTTTTCGACGAGATGAAGCGCACGCGGGGAGTTCCCGTATCCCCTCTGGTTCCGTAAATGCGCGAACACTGGCCATTCAATTGAACGTGATCGTGTGCACGTCACGTTTGGTCGGCACGTTGCCGCGTGTCCGAATGTTGTATATTGATATGGTACACAAGCGTTGTACGATACCGCGCGATCGTGCGCTAGATTCATTTTGGGACGATCCAATATTTATTGCTAGAGTAATAATTTGTACGAACAAGTGTGTATAGTGTCGCAGAGAAAATGAGTCAGTATACGAGAGGTTGTATATACCTTAGTAGTAATTCGATCCAACAAGACGCCTGGCTTCTTTGAACGACGATACTATTCGGGTTTCTCCGTTCTTTTTTTGGACGTGTTATCCGTACGAGAGACAGCGAGACGAGGCAGAGTAACATTTCGGATAGGCTGTGACTGACGTCTAGTTTTAGACATCCATACGAAGCGCGCTCTCGGTTAATCGTCGATCGAACAATCGTCGATGAAATGATTTGTTGACGATGAATAGTTGGATTACGAAATGAGTAAACTGTATTTGTATATTGCCGCTGTTTATGAGAATTGGAACATTAAATACGTCATTATCATACACGAGTGTGTTTCTTGTCTCCGCGTGTCTGCCTCTGGTTCTCGTTCTACTCCTTTTTCTCCTGTGTCTATTTTGTTTCTTTTGCTCCTCCGAACTTCAGTGAACGATCTTTAGCCCGGTTAAGTTCTGAAGCGATGAGCGCTTTCCAGAATTTGCGTCGCGTTCTTTATGATGTCCGCGGTTCCTTTCGTCTCGTCCGCATTTTGGAATTGTATCAGTATAACAAGGTACGTTGTCACCGCTCCGGCGATCTAAAATTCATGCGATTGTATTAGGTTGTGTAATATGATATGTCGGATTTTGCGGAAAGAAAGAAACCTTATTTGATGTGCTACATTCGATTCAAGATAAATAGTGCGATCGTTCCATTTTTTCCGTTTCTAAGCAGGTAATAACAAAAATAAAAATAAATAATTGGAAGGAAAATAAATAAACGAACTTAATTTTATTTTACGAACCGATAGACAGTTGATCTTGTATGTCTCTTATATCTTTCACTTACCGACGTTATTAATGTTCTGTCCAAGGAGAAGAGTCCGCATACTGAAAATTCAAGAGGCCGATGCAGTAACTGAAGAGAAAATATTTCCAATTGGTGCCGTGCATTCGCTTCGTAACTAGAGGACAACAGTTGACTGACGAGAACCGCGGTTCTCTTTCCCTGCAAGAAAGAAGATTCGTTTCATGGTTAACACGTTTACTGCCGCAAAAAATTTCAGAGCTTTATGTATCGCTTATTCATTTTGTAGCAAAGATAAAAAGGAACGATTACTTCCTTTTTGGTGTTGCGATTATTAGGTTACACTATTATCTATTTATTTACGTAATTGAACATTGTCATTCGACGTTAGTTGTCTGACAAATTATAATTGTTTTCAAGTAATTTGGAAGCTCTGGTCATCGGTGACCACCGTGGCAGTCAACGTGTTGATACTTTGTCAAATACCCGCAGTAACAAATTTGAATAATAGCATTAAATAGTGCAAGAATTGGACATTTGGAACAACTGTTTTCTTTTTAAAAAATGTCGCTGATATTTAGTTTCTCAGGTAATCGCAAAAAACTTTTGCTAGCACTACATTGAATTCTATACACGTGAGCGTGTCCGTCAGACGAACACAAGCATAACCGCGAGCGTTACGGCTGCTGCGGTTTGCATCCATCAGCCCTCGATCTTCTCAGGTTACGTGTACTCTTCCCGACAAAAGTTGTATTAACACTAGAACGATCAGACATATAAAAATGACCCATTCCTGGTTTCTTCTTTTCGAAATTGTTAAAAAGATAACATATGTTTCTCCGAGAAGTTATTAAAGAAATTGATAGCAGTACTCAAACGGAATTGTAAATCAATTGAAGTCTCAATAAATACACTCTTGGAGTTTCTACAGAAAAATTTCAAAAAGTCAATTCAACTGCTCGGTAGTTTCAGTATTAACGCGTTAATCGCCATGGTGGTTACCGATGACCGGAGTGTCCAAATTACTTGAAAACAATTATAAAAAAAAAAAC